TTCTCTGTTTCGGTGCGTGCATGTACGAAATAAATTTGTCTATGGTGCAAAACGTAGGTATTTGCTTATTTTTCGAATATATTATACATAAATGGTATGTGTGCTCTTATTTTCCTAATCTTTTTCGCAAAATATTTGTGTTGACTTCTCATTGTTGCTTTTTTAAAGAAAAAAAAAACATACTTACGCATACTTGCTCACACATCACATGCTCATCTCATTCATTTTACTCTCATATTTGTTATTGTTTGCCTGACGCCGTCATCACCATCGTCGTTAATGTTAGACATACTATACCGCCACAACCATAAGCCAGCAAATATATTGCCATGGAATTGATATTCGCCAAAACTCTGTAACACAATAACTACCACATACTCAATTATCGAGCATTGAGTAGACGAAGAATAGAACGAAACACACACTAGTTCCAATTTGTTGGCGCGCGTGCTTTTGTTATTATTTTTCTATTTGCACTTGTACATCTCTCAAGCCTCAAATGTGTAGTTTACGCGAAAGCAATGCAAAATTGAATGTGTATGTCAAAATGAAGGATTCGAGAAGTCAATGGGACACAAAAAGCGCAGAAACAGAAATAGAGAGAGAGAGAGAGAGAGAGAGAGAGAGAGAGAGAGAGAGAGAGAGAGAGAGAGAAAGAAAGCATCTTTCTTGAAAGCTCGAAACTTCACAAATGTATGAAAATGAATGTTTGACGAAAAGCAGATGGAGAAACAAAATAATCGCATGCGGCTTCACAATTCTGCACGCATGAATCAATGCCTGAATATTCCAGTTATAATTTAAATGACTGTTTCTCGTTTCTTTCGTTCTCTCTCTCTCTTGATTGTGATGCTTAGTGCCTTTTCCATCATCATCGTCGTCATCCTCTCCATCTACTAAACTGGCAGATTGAGTGGCACTGTACCGAAAAAAAAGATTGATTATGTATTTGTCTATGTGTGAGTTTGCGGGACGGTTTTGCCTATTTGAAAGGCAGCAAATTGAAATGGAACCTAACGACGTGAGCACACGTTGTTGCCAATACATTGCGGAATATATTGTGTTCAAATGTTAATCTCAATGTAACAAATAATTTACTGATATTCATCACATTAATGCTTGTCGTGTCTTTCAATCTTTACTCTTGGCATGTGTGCAAAGCTGCTTCACATTCTTTCTTTTTTTTACTCAAATAACCGCGTACTCTTTTTCTCACACCATTTTCATTTTCTCTCACACACACACTCTCATCTTCTTGAAATCGATTTAAAAAAAAATGTCTAGTGCACTTCGGGGGTACACGCACGATTTTTACAAAATTCAAATCATTTCGCATCATTCCACATGATGAACGTAAAAAAAAATAATTAGCAAATATAATTGCAAAGCATTTTTAAATTTAAAAAATCTATACATATCGTATATTATTTTAAATCGGATTTTTACTGATGTCTACCCCCAAGAATGCTTACCTACTGTTCAATAGATCGGATTGAAAGAACGACGCAATACAAAATGAAATGATTTGAAGGCGTTCACTATAACATAATTCGGCTCAAATCAGCCAATTTCTCTTTGGACTCTCTCTCTCTCTCTCTCTCCATCCCTCTCAACCTCTTCATCGCTCGCTTCGCGCTCTATCATTCTAAATGATGAATGCAAACAAACGAAATCACCTATCCCGTGAATGATATCTATAAATCGACAAATCGCATTCAAAATTACAAATATCACGCGTACAAACCATATACCATTCTTGGCATCGAAACAGACTCAAATAGCATTCACCGAATAAAGGAGAAAGAGCAAAAATGGCAATGAATGAATGGGGTAAACGAAGAAGACACATTTGCAGAAAGAGAGAACGAGAGCGAGAGAGAGATAAATGGTATAACGGAGAGTAATGATTTCAATGTCTTGTTGAATTGCACGTTTATGTTATCGTCGTATTATGCCACAACTACAATTTATCTATTGCATCGAGGGTAGCAAAATGACGCGTTCATTTTGCATAAATAAGTAAGTTGTTCTGTCTTCATGTGCAACACTATTTGTTGGCGCTCTAGAAGTCGAGCAATAACAAAAAAAAGTACACAGAGACAAGGAGTATGAGAAACATAGAGATAGAGAGAGAGAGAGAGCAAGCGATAGAAAATGAGTAAAGAAAATAAAAAATTGAAACGAACTTTAGCAACCAAAAAAAAGAGAGAAAATAACCCCCCAGAACGATACAGAAAAACGAACACGACATGAACATAAATGCAAAGAAAACAATTACAAAAGAGTTGCAACCATTTGCCATCTTCAGTATGTGTGCATTCGAATAGTGAGCGAACAAGTGAAAAAAAGGGATCACTTTGCCATTGAATTGAGTGTATTTGTGTGTCTGTCGTGCTTTATTTGCAATGAACATGATTGCCTCTACATGTGTAACACTCGCAAATGGATTCCCCCTTTTCCCACTCTATCCTTCCTTCTCCCGGTTTTCAGTTGTTGTTGTAGATGAGGTTTTTTTTACTACTTGTTTCAAGCAATTTTCAAAACACTTAATAAATACCTATAAATAAAATGTGATTGCATTCTTCTTTATTTTTCAATTTAATACTTTTCCGTTGATCTCGACGCTTATTTGAACACGGCACGTTTCACTTGTACGTACCAAACATGCCTGGATACATCGAGCAGTTGAAAGGAGTGCGGCGGGGGGAAGGAGAGTGAGGAATAGCAAACGAATCAACGTAAAACACATGAACGAACATTTTCAATGTGCATACAGTACGCACACTTAGCGTACATTGCAAACATACAACAACAACAATAAAATTGAAAAGAAACAGAAACATATCATACAAATCGAGACGAGTGTTGATCGATATTTACATTAGTCGACGCAGGATTTTGCTTTTCACTGTTCTTATTCTATCTTTTTCGTTATGTCACTGTTCTGATTCTTCACTTCTTCTTCTTTACTTTGTTGTTTTAGAATGCAATCTAGGGGTATTTTCATATTATTATATCTACTAAGTTTGATTTTCGATAGTAATAATTGTCACCTTCAATCATTTTCAACATTGAATAGTCTATGCATTCCACCAATTCTTGAATTGTCATCATTACATTGAAATTCCCGTATGAATTGATGGCACCTGAAAGTTTCACAGTACTCACGCATATTCGTACTTTTAAAAAGTGAGCAAACCCTCGGGTACGTTGGTCTCGGCAAAAGGTAGCATTGGAAATATCACATAACAAATCATTCAATGAATGTGTACTATACAAGACACACACACACACACATACCTTATTTGCACTGGAAGCAAGTAATTTTCTAGAACCTCATCGAATGTAATGAATGTGAGCAAATACAAAAATACGAATACAAAGTTCCACCTCAAACAAAGACACATCGAAATACGAATTTTGAATTCAAGAGCACGGCGGCACAGCCATGCAAATTGCACACACACATATACAAAAAAAAAATAAAGAAAGAACCAAATAGCAAAAATAGAAAAGAGAAAAGCCAAAGCGAAAAGAAACATTTTAAATAATTTATTTATGGTTCAACTGGCTGGTGTATGACTGCCATGATGTCTACATGATGCACATAAAACATCATTTGCATCGTGTTTTACTAAATAACAAAAGCAACAAAACACCAAATGATATACTCAGAAGGAGACCAAATTGAACTTCCCGACCACCATGTTTCAATGTGTGGATGTGAGAGCCTATCTGTGGGCACATACATATGTATGAAATATGTTGTGCATTTACCGGTTGTACATATTCTCTGTGTGCCATATATAATAAAAATCAAAAGAATCTAATTATTCAAACTATCAACTATCATGAGTAATTTTCCATTTTTCTATTGCTGCATTTGATCGTTTATTTTCTGTTATTGTTGATGTTCCGTACGTCTGGTAGATAATTTTGATTTTGTTTTTCAACTAAATATACCAATTGGTATGGCCAATCAGTAGCCTAAATGATATGTTGTTGGTGCTGGTTCTGCTGTTGCTGTTTTGCTTGTGTCGGTAGCGCAATTAAAATGCGCTCAAAAAGGGAGCAAAATAATCACTCAATTGGCTATGTGCGCACGTTGTTTATGTATGTTGTACATTCTCTATGTTATGTGATTTAACGGAAGATGTTTGTTAGTAATTTGATTCTGTCATGCTAATTTATATGGGCTGTATGTTGCCTTCGAATACAAATGAACGAACGAATGAAAAAGATCAAACATGACGGAAATAATGAAAATGGCGATGCAATAACCCAATGTTGTATTTTTGTAAACAGCAAACTATTTTATGTGAATTTTACCACGTGTTTGTTTTTGTATCGCAGACTCAAATTCGCTGAACCCACTACACATTTGTTTCGAATTAATATCCGAGATAATTTTGGATGCTTCAACAAAATCGTTATAGATAAATAAACAAAGCCAAAGTTATTCACCTTTCGCTCTCTTTCTCTGGCTACCGTACTCATAATTGAGCACAAATAAAATGAAAATTCCAACTTGACATTCAAATATGGCGTTATAAATGGTGTTTCAACAAATATTCGCGTTACAATTGTCCAAGGTGCGTTTTTGCATCAAAACTCTTTCATCTTTTTCTCAATTAATGTCATTTGCCATACGAGAAGCTAATGAAAATGTTGTGAAAAAGACAATTGACCGGCTTTGACGTGTATTGTCATTCGCGCAATTACCTCCTTCTTGTAACCTTTGTTTGTTTTTGTTGTTGTTGCACACAAAACTAACACTAAATGATAAAATTAGACAAAAATTGTTTCGAGTTGACGTGTTGATACGACAGAGATGTATTGCTTGATCGGGCCCAGCCTGTAAAATGCATTAGAGAGCAAAGGAGGCAAATACGCATACATTGAAAGCAACAAATTTTCAAATCCGTTGTGTGAAAAGATGCGAGCGTCATCCACGCGACGACTTTATTCGCGTATTTAATTCGGTTGATGTTCAAACAAAGGCAATCGATTAGTAAAACAGTGTCGGGATCAGTTTCAGTTAGTCTTCGAAAAGCATCGGTTGACAAACATCATTAATAAGAAAGCTGAGAACCTTCTCCTCTCTCACAAATCGCATTGAAAAGTCGAGAGAAAAAAAAGTCGAAGAATTAATCAAACTAAGAATACAAAAAGTACATTGCGAAGAAAACCAATTCAATTCGAATTTGTTTACCGACCGCTTTTAATTTTTCTTTTCGCTTCAAATTCTTATCGTTGATTGATTTGCAATTTAGTTCAGTGCGAATTTAAGTATTTCGACTGTTTTTTTCTATATATTTTTTTGTCCAATTGTGTTCCGCAAAATCGATTTTCTTAGTGCGCGTAATTCATTTATTTGAATCGAGTTTTATTTTTCATTTCGTTGCAAAAAATAAGAGGTACAGTGTTTTTTTTTTTTTGCTTGTTCAACTTGTTTGTTTCATCAAATTTAAATTCGATTTTCATTTGAGAGTTGAGAAATCGATCAAAAGCGACTGGATTTGAATTACCTGAGATAGGAGTATGGGTGCCTTTTTTTTTGGTAGAAATAAGATTCATCGTGATAAGCATGAAATATTTAGTAGTTATACAAGTGGCAAAATTTGGCTGAGATGGAAAGAATGGGCAAATGTTTCAACTAATAACTTTGTTGAGCGTGTGAATTATTTGAAATATGCCAAATGAACATGGTGGATAGTTTTTTGTTTCATCTTTCATAAATCTCATTCGATGCGATGATCATCAGAGAGACTGAATATATGTGAGTGTCGGTAAAATAGAAATCGTCGGCGACAATGTTGCGATTTAGTAATAAATTATTTTCGATCTGAATGCAAAGACAACAACAACAACAACAACAGTAAAAAGAGCAGAATAAATGTACGAAATAATTTCAAATTACCGCCAATATAATGTGACGGAGATAGTATTTTGGCAGAAAAAAACACACATAAACTAAACATACGTAGCATATTTTAGATCACTGGCAATTTATACGTAACTTCTTAGCAAGCATGCTGAGCATTTTTCGGACGCTTTCATCTCACATCGAGTTTTTCTTTTCACAATTTAATGAAAATGCGTAACTTTATGTTCGAAGTTTTCAATTTTTCTTTCGTTTTTGGTGAGACAGAGGCACCACAATCACATTCATGTTAACTCTTCATTTCGGTTGCATCGAGCACAGCACGGAAAAGATTCTTATGAATCCACGAGAAGAACATAGTATGCAATAGTTTGAGCCGACCACAATCAAGATACGAAAAACGAGATAATTCTATTTTTCTCGTTGCCCGTGTCTATTGTTCGAGTCAAAAAAAAAAAAAACTAAACAGACGCTCTGCGGTTATCCAATGTGTTTTAGATGTTCTGATGAGGATAAAACGTTGATTAGCAACTCGTTTGTCACTTGTAGTGTGTGCGTGTGTATGCAAAAAAATTGCGGAATGTCTCGCAAAGCTACGACCGTATACGAAAATATATTATTTTCATTTTGTTTTTCAAAGTTAACATACTCACTTCTAGCTTCGGTGGATTCGATTGTCGGTTACACATAGTTAGTATATTTTTCCTTGCACATTTCGCATTCACATCGAATTGATTATTTTATGTTTCTAAATTGCGACAGCCAGTGGGACTTTTGTGAAAATAGACATTTTTTTTCTTCTCACGCTTGTTTTTACTGAGCCAACAGTCAATTACAACAACAAAAAAAGAACAAATATGCACCACAAGCACATCGCAACAGAATGTTGATTGAAGCTGAACATTGACCGTTGAACAAGTGTTGTTGTTTCGCCGATGAAATGACAATTATTTTTCAATTTCATATTGTTATGACGCCCAATCACTGTATAATGCGTATAAACATGCTTAGCACGCGATGTGATGATAAGTTTTTCATTTTGTATATATGCATGGCCTGATGCTTGAAATGATGTCTCCAAACAGATGTGACAATGGAATATGCGAACATTTTATTCACGCATTTTAAAATGCTTGGCTTGCCAACGACAAAATGTAAACGAAAAAGAATGTGTATGTCGTGTGTTCGTGTCATTGTTGTTGTTAAACAGTCAGATCAGCATAACCACATGGCTGGCGCTTTCAAAGTTGAATAAAATGTGATCCCACGATATTCGAACGAAAGTATTTTAAAAATTGCTCTCATACATGTATTGGCGTCTAGTTTTTTTTTTAATTTTATTTTCAATTTGTTTGCTCATTTGGCGAATCTGAAGAAACGATCATATTCAATATTTTCAAGGACGGTTTCCTCTCTTTTTCGCTCTGTCACTAATTTGTTGGTCCTGAAACCAAAATCCAAACCATCGCTTTTCTCGTTCAATGCAATTAAAATCAATTTTATGTTCATAAATTTTAATTGCCACATAGTACGAAGTATGGAGCATATCCGACTTATCGAAGTTAGTGCGAGAGATAGAAAGAGAATGAAAAAGAGAAAATAAATTTCATATAAATAGGTTTTTTCCCGTCTGATGCAAATAACTGCTTGCGGTTGATACAGTTAAATTACCAACAAGTTGTATGTGCACTATTGCGGTGAACGAACAGAAAAGCGGGCATTTCAAAATGAAAAAGCAAAAAAGTAGCAAAAAAAGCGACCGTACCACCACCGCCACCATACCAACAGCATCGCCAGCAAATGGCAAACAATCTCTCGAGTATGCTATCGATTTGGCAGCTAGTTGGTTGTGAGCATTTTTGTCAGCCGATGGCAAGTGAAATGAATACAAAAGGTCAATTCGCATATTCATAGAAACGCTTCGTATTTGATTATGAATGAAATGGCTGTAGAAACAAAAAAAGCTCAACATTTTCAAAATATATACATCGTCCACATATACTTTCGAAAAATTCCCGGTTTCCATAGTAAAGTACTACCAATTTCGCTGCGCCCAACAACACTTCGTAGACAATGTACAATACGAGACAGTGACAAAACTAAACAAAACGTATCGCATACAATCTGAGAAGAATACAACAAAAACGCGCGCACACACAGAGAATGAAGCAAAAAGAAAGAAAGAAAATAAATTAAGAGAAGAATTGAAAATACAAGTAGTATTTTTCCTAACGACCCTGTATTTCTTTAAATGTTCAGCCGCTAACAATTTGCTATAAATCAAATTAAATGTGCCATCGAAAGGCGTAACGAGTCCTGGTGTAAATATAACATTTTATGCACTTAAAGCCATCGATGATGTAACACACAACAGAATACAAACATTAGAGGACGAGTGAGAATGAGTGAAAGAAACTGCACACTCACACACGCGACATATGGCGAAAAACAGGAAAAAGCGCACCAATGCTCGCGATGCGACAGACCCATATCTAAAGAAAAACTCAAGCAGCAACCAAAAAAAAACAGCAACACCCAACGTTTGAAAGTGAGACGAGAAGGAAAAAAAAACTAAAATAAAATAAAGGAAGGAGAAAATAAATTGAAATGAAAGAAGAAAAATTACATATGATTAGACGAATCGTATATTCGATATATTAATCAAAATGTGTGCACGAATTCGTTGTGTTCGCTGGTTTCCTTCGTTTTGTTATAGATTTTGGTGAATGTGCGCCGGTGTATATATATATATGTGTGTGTGTGTGTGTGTTCATGTGTTCATTCTTTTGTCGGGTGGCGCGGATCGTATGTGCGTGGTAAGATCATTTAAAAAGCCATTTTCGTTAATGTTCAAGAAATTGAAACGAATGCACAAAGTCACGAAAACATTGGCAACCAGTTAAAAAGCCAATTGTTGGCCGACCGACCGACCGTCCGACAATATCGAACGCTAAGAACGAACACACCAAAACAACTGAAAACCCAGACCAAGAGAAACAGAGACAGAAACATATAGAAGAATAGAGCCAGTCAGACAGAGAGAAAGAAAACTCGAAAACAATTTGTAGCATTTGCACATCTAAATGAAGTGCAACCACGCTCGATTTAATCAATCGACAGTAAACATTTAGCGAAAAGAAATTAGCTTCTCTGTTTTTTTTTTGCTTTCTTTCATTGTGCGCTGATGTTGATATACTCAACTCTTTTTTAGCGTGATCGATTCAGTTCGCCTTTAAATCTCTTGTCGTTTATATTTTATGGTTTTTTCTCATTTTCGTGAAAATCTTGATTTTCTGTGCTCTTATTATATTCCCGTCATTTATTTCGTCATTGTCGTCATTGTCATTGTTTGCTATTATTTTTACTATTTTATTAAACATTATTAGACATTTGAAGTAAAATGGCTGAGGAAGGAGGTTTCAACTTCGACGATTTCGAAGAATCAGCAGACGCTGCTGCAGCTGTTCCAGACGCACCAGAAGCAATCGCAGACGAAGCTATGGAAGATTTTGATGCCGATGCCGATGCCGATCCCAGTGTAAGACAGCGGTGGACGCATAGTGTGTCCATTTTCTTTTCGTACGAAAAAAAGTGACGGTTTTTCTGTTCGAATTAAATATTTTTGCAATATAGGCTGCAGTAGCAAAAGCAGCTGATGCTTTACCCGAAGCCGAAGTGCCACCACCTGATGAGGACGGCCCAAAGAGACCAGTCCGATGGTACAGACATTGGGTTCGGTAAGCCTTACATAATGATTTATATATCTAGTTTCGATCGGCCCGAAATATCTATGGCACACACAAATGCACACTTGACTCACTTTTTAAATCACAATGTGTGCTCTCTATCTCTATCTGTCGTTGTTTTATTTCATTTCAGACCAAAATTCTTACAATATAGATACATGTACGATTATCGAACCAACTATTACAATGATGTCATAGAATATTTAGATAAGCGTGCAAAAGGTGTCAATTGCGAAATACCACGAGCACAAACCTGGGCTGAACGTGTTCTACGAACCCATACAAAGTAAAAGCAACACATTTTCCTTTTTGATTCTTTTTTTTTCGATCTCTATCTTCTAAACAGTTTTTTTTTTCTTATATTCTGTGTTATATCTGTGACTTTCTATCTCATGTATTTTCGCTTAAAATGATATTTGTTTTTCTTCTTTTTTTCTTTTTGATTTTTCTCCACAATTTTTTTTTTTTTTTACTCTTGCTATCGTCCACGCACAAACTCATTTGCGCATATCGATAACAACGATCACACAGTCCATCGGTCCTAGATTACTACAAGAACCAAAAGAAAGAAGATAAGCATCTTATTCAAACCATTGCTGCCTCAATCAAAACCCATAACTATCATACCAAAGCCTACATCAACCAAAGATACGCGAGTGTTTTGTAAACGAAACCAAAAAAAATCCGAAGCGCGATCGTGTCGAGCCAAAATGTCATTCGAGCGCCTCATCAGCACACACCAACTCAAACATACACACACACTCTCTCTCTTTTTATTTTCTCACTCTCTTCACAGAGTGAACATACAAAAAATATATTGATATATTATGTAATTCACAATATTCTCTTTAATCTTGACCATTACTCTTTTTTTATTTCAAAGCCAACGTATATCGGTTATTTTTCTTTCTTTTTTTTTCTTTTTTATTGAATGTAATTCATATTAATTTTGTTTCGGATGGTTTTGTTTGTTTCGAAAAATGTTCATTTAAATTTATAATTTTATTTATATTTATTGGTTCTTTTACCGCAACCCATTTTTTTTCTTATTTTAAATTAATTTATACATAAAACATCAAATTAAACTCAATCATTGTTGGTATTGGTTGACTAAATCAAACTCTCAATGTACAGAGAACGAGCCAACAAAATAATAATTTAAAAAAAAAAATCAAACAAATTCTACCAATCAAATGTGAAATAAAGCTGTTGCTTCTTTGTGTCTTTCGATAAGAGAACCTGATGTACGAAATAAAATCTCGTTTTTTCTTGAATGTTTAGTAAACGAAAATAAAACAAAGTGTCGTTTTATTTAAAGAGAGATATTTATTTTCAGCATTCTGTACAATATAAGGTCGAATTGGTGTCTATTGAAAAATATCTGTTTTTTTTTTGTTATTGTGATTTATTTTTATTTTGAGGGATGTACATGTAAACCATGGTAAAAAAATATATATTGTTTGTTTGTAATTTTGTTGATAGTTTAATCATTCGAAGATTGTTTACTTTTTTCGCTGGTATCATCTACACTTTCATCGTCTTTATCGGTATCGGAATCGCTTGAATCGTCTGAGCTCAAACCTTCGTCGAGCCATTGGGCTCCCTTCAATTTTTTCTTTTGCTTTTTTTTCGATTTTTCAAGTTTCCGCTTAACACCACTGCCACCGACGCTACCGTCATTACTGTCATTACTTCCGGACACCTTACCGATGCCGCTCGTGCTCGTTGTTGCCGTACTTGTAGCTACAGCAGCTGTAGATGTGGTTGCATTTTTCATGCCTTCTTCAAGCGCATCAGAAACATCGTCCAGTAAATTCGATCGCGTTTCAAAATATTCATCGTCTTTAAATTCATGTTTTGGTTTTGAACGTAATCGTTCAATTTTCCGGGCAACTTTTGAACCGGCTTCTTCGTCTTCTTTCGCCTTTTTATCCAAATAATCTTTTAAACGTTTCTCTTCGTTGATATCACGCAATCGACGTCCACTCAAATCACGGCATGCCTCACGGTTGGTGGTTTTCTCAATTTGTGCGCCAATTGCACGCAACATTGAACCAAAACCACCTTTACCACCAAATAAACGCATACACACATAAATTGTGTTGCCCATCGTATCAACAATATTATTTTCCTCATTGTTGTTATTGATCAATTTCCCATTTTGTGTTAGATAAAATTCAGATGGCGATAGATTTAATGCTTTTGAAACAGCTTCAGTAATGTGCTTTTGACTATTTGTTTTCGGATGAATTATTAGTCGATGACCACCATCCACACAAACGTTTGCAATCATCTTATTGATTTTCGTTATTTCCACCAAAAAAATACGTAATTTTATTGATTTTTTTTAAAAAGAGAACACACACAACTGTTTATCTTGATACCAATATTTTAAATGAGAAACTCTTTAATGACAGAATTCAATCAAAAGGTGCGATTATTTCTAGTGAAACTTGTGAAAACGCTTGTTTTCCAAAACAAACTCATTTACTCCTAATGTCGTCATAAAAATGTCAAAATAAAAATCTAAAACGTCAATAGCACACTGCTAACGCCATCTATGCGCACATTTACGCTCTTCCTTACCGATTTTTAGCTAACACTGTGAAAATGAGAAATATTCTGATTTTTACCATATTTTCCTGATATCCAGATGAATCGAGGCATTAAATTTCGATTTGAAAATCCAGAAGAATAAAAAAAACGCAGATTGTGATTTCTTTCATTGTTCACGCTAACTTTAATTCATTTTTGTAATTAAATTACATTGGATGGAAAATGAGAGAAAAAGTCGTTTAAATAAATGTTTTTTTTCCATTTTTTCGTTTTTTTTTCTTGTTGTTGTTGTTGTTGCTGTTGAATATTTATACTTGTAGTAATATATGATGTTTCTTTCTCTTTGTTTTAAATTGTTCTTTTACTCTTATAATATAGTGTTTTATAACATGTGATGTTTTTTTTTATAATAATACGATATTCTTTATTATTATTTTTATTATTTCGTTTATTTCTGTATTCATTCATTTAATTTTTGTTTTGTTTATAATTGGCTTTTGTTCTCCGATTTATTTGATCGAAACTCGATGGAAAGGCATGAAATAAAAAAAATAGTTGCCGAACCATATTTCTCTTACAAAGATCTTTGAATTTGTTTTCGAAGCGACCGAATAAGAGTCGAAGATGTATTTGGATGAGGAGGGTTTAGTTCTTACGTAGCTTATCAAATAATTGCAGTTTCGATTTAACAACACCTTCACAAACATTAATTCGTTGCGGTGTTGCAATACTTTTATCTAAGTCTAAGCAAAATGCTTCGTATTCTTTGGATGTTGTTGATGCAAGTGCATTTGTTGTTTGGTAAGCGGTTGACGGTGATGATGCGGATGTTTGTGTTTTGCGGATGTTAGTGTTTTGAATATCGGTGCCATTTCCGACACCGCTACCACCACCACCACCGTTGCCGCTGCCACTGCCGCAAATTTGTTGTGATTGATTTAATTCGATAGTATAGTTTGTGTTGTCAGATGACAAAACATTGGAAGCATTCATGTGATTCGTCGCCGGTATTGCCGGTGCTGCCATCGTCGTTGTTGTTGTTGTTGAAGCCGTTGTTGGTGTTGTTGGTGTCGTTGTTGTTGTTGTCGTCGTCGTCGTTACTGCACTGTTATTATTTTGCAAATAAATTGAACATCGATTTGACGATGGATGATATGTACGCGATGCGGTGACCGATGTGTAATCACTTGATGAGATCGATGAAATATGATGTCGATCAGCGGATATCGGACAATTTGTGCTGGTTGTTGAATTTTTAAATGTTTGCCCTTTGCGCTCGAAATATTCAACAATTTTGGCTATTTGCGCTGAACGTGTATTTGGTATGGTCGTTGAATACGATGACATTCGATCATCCCATAGCAATGAATCACTGCCAGCCAAACTGCTTATATCCTCCGAACTATCCGTGTATATTGACGATGTACGATTCTTACAATATAGCAATTGATTATTTAATTGATGCTTATGAAATAGACTATTTATTTCAGAATCTAGCGATAAACGATTCACCAGACCTGTGGAAGAATCACAAAACGATTTTTTTTTTAGAAATAATGGATAAATAACGGAAAATTTAATGGAATAGTAATTTTTAAGTGATTATACCTTGCACAAGACCCATATCAATTGATAGCGAATCATTTCCGCTACAATCAAATTTACAGCACGTTGTATTGCGTTCGAATAAATCAAAATCGTCAAAACTTCGCAATGAATTTGGTATTGTTGCCGTTGCCGTCGATCGATCGTCCATATATTGGAGCGTATGCTCGTAATCGCATGGACCGTTTATTGATAATTTGGCCAACGGTCGATGCGTTGAAAAGTCTTCATCGGTTAGACATGAGAAGAAACCACTTTCACTCGAACCGCCACGCGTTAACAATTTCGGATTATCGAAATAATAACTATCGTCACGTACACCACCGCCACCGCCACCGCCACCGCCAGTGCCACCTCCACCACGATGATCATCTTTACACTTAAACAACGGATGACTAAACAATGAGCTAGCATTTTTCTTTTTTAACGTTCCCGTTCGGCTACTTATAATTGCGGCGTCGTTGTTGGAATAATCGATTGGTGTGTCATTTGCAATGACCGCACAATGTTTTACATTATTCGTTTGGCATTGATTAGGTACATCTAATAATTCCATTTTTTTTCTTTCAATTGTATTATCACTATTATTCATCTTTGTCTTATTATTAAATAATAAATCGTCATCGACATTATTGGCAATATCGTTGATGATTTCATTATTACTACTACTACTAATTGTATTATTATTTGTTTTGGACGACGTTTGTTGTAAAACGAATTTATCGATTTTGGATAATTTTCTTTGTGTAATTTTTGGTGAGCTGGGCAAACTTTTTGCCTGTTGCACAGTTTTTCCCGTTTTTCCATTGGTTGTTCGTTGTGGAAAGCCGCCAGTGGCCGTATCCTTTGTAACCCGAATTTCAAAACATGAACTAAATAAATCGCATACACCAGCCGTATACGTGGATGGATTCGCTCCGATTATCTTTTTCACACCTTTCAATTGTGTCAGCGTTGTAAATGGATTCGATTTACCATATGTTTGACTATTCATGTGCGGTTTATATTGTGGATCTTTTAGAAACATTGTTTCACCCACTTTTCGTAATGAAATTCGTAATGTTGTATTACAAAATATCCCAATTGGATACTCGACACCATTATCCGTATCACTGTTGGCTTCAATTGGAGATTGTGATGGTGATGTTGTTTGGTCATCAATTGTATCTGTATATAGAGACAAAAACACAATTATTTTTTGATTCAGATGATAAATTCGAATCGATATGAAGATACCTGAGCTTGCATTGAGTTGACTATTTCTTCGATTGATCAAATGGCAACGAGCTTTATCGCTGGGTGTTGTGTGTGGTGGAAACGGAATGATGTTTTCAGATAAAGATCGTCGATGTTGTAATTTATTTGCTCCAAATACGCGTAAATGATGACCATTGGCTACTTTATCTTTTTCAATGAACGAATGAATTTTTTCATTGACGCTTCGTGTTTCCGATTCGGTGTAAATCGGTTTGCATGCATTGGTCAACCAATTCGAACAGTAATTATCAATGGAATATCGCTTGTTGGCGGTCGATGGTTGTGTTGACATTGATTTTTTGGCAATTTTTCCATCGTCCATTGTTGCATTTTTGTATGTAATAATGGGATTTGTAGTAGTAACGGTTGTGGTTGTGATATTGTTGGTGGTTTCAACTGTTTTCGGTATGCCATCATATTTTTCCAATAACAATTCTAATTTCTGTGCAATTTCAACAAATGTAGGTCGACTACGTGGATCGTACTGGTCAAATGAGAATGAGCATATAAAAAATAATGCAATGATAATTTATTTAAATGAGATACTTACGATGCAACAGTAAAATGTCAGTCTTAAAAATCCGGGCGGTGTATTTGTTGGACAAAGGTTAACGTATTGTAAATAGTCTAAGCCAAATGAATGTGTCCTTGGTAATATGTCTGGATCGGCTTCAATCTATATGTATATATGTTGACAATATGTGCACAAGTTAAGCAATAGAAAAAAGAGAACAATTAATAAATAACTAATGAGCTCAAGGCCTTTCAACCGTAAAAAAAATAGAAACGAAAATCGAGGTGAACAATAAAATATGTACACAATCATATACAAATACATACCCTGGCAATGATTTCACACGAAATAATTCCAAATGAGAAAACATCACTCGTTTGATCGTACCTATAAAAAAATAGAGCTCATTATCGTTCTTTATAATAAAATCTCTTTATCATATTTTCAAAATGTTGGAGATTAGATTGTGTTTGATCGTACCACTGGCCCTTTAAGCATTCTGGGCTCATCCAATACGGCGATCCGACCGTTTCCAATCGTGTCTTACTTCTCGGTATCTTGGCAGCTAGTCCAAAATCTCCAACAACCGCATCAAATTGACAGTTTGCCTTTTTTCGTATGAGCACATTCTATTTTTTTTTTTGTGTCATCATATCACGGGAAGAGAGCGAAAAAAACAACCACAACAAATTATACAAAATTTAAAGGAAAAAAAGTAGACAATGCAACATAAGCATTTCAATCAATTTTAATCTATCCGCATCCGTTTTGCATTTCTCATTCATTTGGAATTTATGTGGCGAGCGAGAGAGCAAAAAAGAGCGATCAATTTCTTTCTTTTTTTTTTCATTCATTACGTATTGGCAAGGAAGCGCACACTTACTTTGCTGGTTAAATCGCGATGAAAGAAGCCGCATGAATGCACATATGCCATGCCTTCTGCAATGTCAAGTGCCAGACGAATTTTTGTTGATATCGTTAAATTAATCGAATGATTTGCCAACAATTGCTCCAACGAACCGCCATTCATGTATTCAGTCAATGCATGCAATTGTCCTTCTTGCACACAAACACCCATAAAACTGATGATGGACACAACGAGAAAAAAAAAACAACAACAACCATACCATATTAAAAATTTAAATCAATGCGCAATGGAAAAATGTATGTGTATGAATATGAAAACAAAATTAAAACCAATCCACGAAGTTGACATGATATAAGATTTTGTGATTTGAATATCGTAATGAAATCCATGCAGATGACTCACTTTAAAATATTCGGATGTGACAATTTATTCAGCAATTGTACTTCACGCAGCATATTCGGTCGATTTGAACGTAATTGATTCATTTTCAGTACCATGACTTGTCCGGTTGTTTTATGTGTAACCTATTTGAAGCGGTAGATGATACAGTAAATGATTGCAAAATGAGAGCAACGATTGATTCATGCTACTTACTTTGTAAACTTCCGAAAAGAAGCCAGAACCAATTTTCACTTTATAAAAATCATCGACCGAATATAAAGCAGATACAGCCGTTTTTAATGCCCGATATGATGGACCCGTTGGCAATCGATTCGATTGCGACGCACCACCGCCACAATCGGGCAGTGGCGGTGGTCCAGGACCACTATGTGTACTCGTATTCATTTGCACTATACTTTATTTTGGCTCATTTATCTTTCTTTTTTATTGTTGTTATCTTTTTATTTTAGCATGCGCTTCGTTTTATCGTCGTCACTCCCGCCAAACTCACCGCTTAATTTAATCAGTAAATTTACGTTTCTTTTTTCCTATTTGGTTATTATTATTGCATTCACATTTCTCTAAATATCTATCTCTTCGTCTCTTGAATCGCTTATACACTCATTACATTTCCCAGACGGGATTAATTTTTACATGTTATGTTCATCACACAGAGCACAATACGACTTTAATTCGGAAGAACACATTACTTTTACAAGTTAATCACTTGACTCTTAATTAAATATCTCCCTTAACTTAATTTGTTTTATTTAATACATAAATATAGATAGACATATAATAGATATATAATAGATTTCCATTGACTTATTTTCCTCTCTATTTTGCTATGCACTTGTTTTCATAAATATTCTTCAAAAGAAAAACTTTGTAATATTATTTAGGCTTTGTTTTGCTCGATTTTCGAGAATTCACTACAAACAAAAAATAAAATCTCGCTATAATTTGGCATTTATGTTGTATGTTGAATTTTTCTAAATTTTCACTAACAAAAAATCACTCTAGTTCTCACTTATGCTTCTGTTAATTCGTAAATCATGTTGTCTTAATGTTGATGTTAACGATGTTGTTTTATGACTATGATGATGATCATTCCATGAATTGGCTAAATATTTTGCATTGTTTACATGTTGTTCGCGTCAAATTTTTTTTACGATTTCGTTATATATTTTTTACTATGCAGTTCTTGACTGCTATCAATTGAGTGGAGGCTTATTTCCCATTCTGAAAAAAAAAAACAGAAATAATCATTTTTTGAACAATTTATGAAAAAAAGCAACATCGAAAAAAAACGTTGTAGAAATTGCAATTATTTTTTTAATTAATATGTTTCGCGCACATGCAACTTAATTGATATCATCGTATGTTTTGGTTCGTTTGTCGCTTAGTCGATGGCAAAAGAAAAATGGAAACTAAAATAAAAAATATTTAGAAGAAAAAAAAAGCGGCACAATCATATACACATACGAAAACAAAACAAAAAAAAAACTCGCGCGTACACATTAAAAGCATGAAATGAAGCACGAACTAATTTTATATTTTATGTACTTGCATATCGCGAGAGGATTTATGCAATTAGAATTTGTTCTGGCGTTTAAGTAAAATTTCATTCAACTGAACATGCATTTTGAATGATGTTGTTTATTTTTTTTTGTGCAAGTAATCGTCAAAAGACTTCTTTTAACCGTGTGATATTCGGTTGCTGAATGTTAATCACACAAACACTGTAATCCCAGTGCACTGGAAAATTAAGCAGAACGACGATACGAACGAAAGAAAAAACGTATAGTTGAAGAAATAATGAATTTTCTAATTAGAACACACTATTTTTTTTCTTAAATGGGTTTATTTTGCTGTTGCTGGTGCTTTTGCTTAATTGCAATAGATCCAAATGGAGATGCAACAGAGAAATACTGATGTAAACGAACGGCACACGTTGGAAATTTCTATTGAGACAACGGCAACAACAACAACGACTGTGTGATACGCTAAATCGTAACTTCTTCTTTTTTTCAGCTTTGCTTTTTTTTCGCACACACCAGAATGCAATTTCAATAGCGTGACTATCTTGAGCTTATACTATTTTTCAAATCATCATCTTGGTTGCGTTGTTTTTGTTGGTGCTGCTTTTTTCCCGTTTCTCAATGCTTGATATGTTAACGCTGTGTGCATTCCGAGAGTGTGTCGTCGGATGTTTCCGTATATTCAGGTGTGTGAGTGTATAAATGTGTGTGTATGTGTATTTGTATGTGCGTGTTTGCAAGAGTGTAGTATTTTGCTTTCGGCACTTGAACAAAAATGTTTTTTTTTTTTCGTTCTTGCATCGTATTTACCAAATGCGACCGCGCACACAGTGTCTGTAAACATGGTAAGCATTTGGATTGGTAAATTGCATTGCGTACATATGTTTGCATACTCTGCTGATAATCAGTGTCGCCCGATGTTTTGGATGCTGTTTCTTACAAGAAACTTTGTGTGCATGTGTACACTTCTGCCTGTTTGTGATTCGGGTGTTACATGTATAATTCAATATGAATATGTCAAAAAGCAAATTGTGCAAAATTGAATGGTTTTGGGCATCATAAAGTCAGACAACATTACCAATAATAACGACTAACAGTCAACAACACGCATACACAAACACAATCTCCAATGGAAACGGCGTTTAATATGATGAATGAGAGAGTAAATAGAACGAGTGCACCGACACGATTCCAACGTAAATGACAATTACAAATTAACAACAACAACAAATGCCGCACGAGCTCATCGTGGAATGAGAGCAATATTTAAACCAACTGATCGAGAGAAGCGCAACACATCGAGCGCAAAATTTACGGGAGACGAGAATGATAGTACAGTAAGCGCTGACACAAAGATATATCGACCCAGAGATAGAATATTACAGCAACAACACGATTTCAAAAAAGAAAAAAAAACATTCCAATGTAACGGTATACTGCTTTGCTTGGCTTTTAATGTACTTGTAATATTAAGATGAATGTGCGCGTGAAAGATGTACACTTAATTTTCTATTAATATTTTTTATGGTATAAATATTAGAGAAAAAAAAGAAATGTCTCCATATACAGATCAAGTATGTATTCCTCTTACTTTTGCTTGGAATCAACCCATCGTTTTTATTTTCTATCATTCGAAAATCTCTTTTAACTGCATTTCGCATTCGTTTTAACAATTAACAATGAAATCATCCTTTTATATCCCTCTCACTTGATCTATTACACAGGATTAGACAATCCAATAAAAAAAAAACCATTGTATAACGTTCGGTATGCGTGTGTTGCTTTCATCAAAAAAATGATGAATGTAAATCAACAACGTAAAATTGATTTTTTTATTTTCATCTTCAATTTGTTGAAGAAAAAGAAACAAAATAATCAAAAACATCGAAATTAGAGGTAAAAATTAAAAATGCGATTTTATTTAATGGTAGTGATTTATCATCACGAGTGCATGAGCACGAGCGCAATGAATGAAGAATGGAAAAATAAAAACTGTAATTTATTCGCAAAAAAAAACAATTATTTTATATATGTGGCACGGCACTTTAGCAAACAAGGAAACGAAAATGGAATTGAAAATAAGAAAATCGTAGAGCTTCGATATTATATTAATTGTTTGTGTTGTGCGAGTTTGCAAACACCATTGTACAATGTAATATGCTTAAGCTGACGACTGACGAGCGAAAAATATGTGTGTGTTCAATTTAGATAACAAACTCACTTATTCAGCACCCAAATTCGCAATGAAAGCAATCCACAAAATGAATGCACGTAAGCCGAAAATGTAATCGCTTTACTTCTCGCTTTCTCTCTCTCTACCTCTCTACCTCTCACTCTCAATTTAATATCATATCATAAATTTTGGATAATGCGAAGGTGTTTTAACATTTTTTGCAAGAAATTTTTGTTTTATTTCGATTGTGGCTATCTGTCTGTCTGTCTGTCTATCTCTTCTACCTTCCTCTCAAGGGGTTTTAAATTTATTTGTTGCCTGGTTTTGATAACTGTTTTCCACTTCACCACATAGCTTCAATATACAGACAAATCAGTATAAAAATTTGAAATTTTTCGTTTTTAATTGGCATTTCTTGTGTCGGTTGCTGTTGCTGCTGCTATTAATTTTTTCATCTTCTTCTTCCTCGATTCAATAATTACCAAGTACCGAGTATGTGTGTGTGTGTGTATCTGCGTCGCTGTTGTGGCTGCATTCACTCGTCAATGGTGCTTAAATTGCGGTGGGCCACTTTTATTTTTAATGTTGCTTTCTATGCGGTTTTCAAATGTAATGCGTCTGCGAATGAAAAAAAGAAGTAGCAGCAACAACACTAGTCCAAAACAGGTGATAATCAGTGCAAAAGGAAATTCCATTAAGTAGCTGACTTTTTTCTGTTATTGTATTTATCACTACTTATCGACAAAGTCGATGATTATTTTTGTGGGTTGACGAGCTGTTGTCAGCGAGCCGTATTATTAGATGGAATGCATTTGTTTGAACACACAGAAATGTCATGACTATTAACCCTCTAATGCATTAATTTTTTCTAGAGCTGGTCATTTTTTTCTAGTTGATTTTGTTGTGAGAATTCTTAAAAAAAGTAATTATAATATCAAAAAATGCCTGGCTGACAAAAAAGGTCTAAAAACCGAACCCCGCCTGAAGGCAGGGCTTAAATCATTTTTACATGGATTTGAATCTAATCCACTATACCGTCGGCTATACGCACGAATCGTGTGATATCCATTCTTCATTCAGGAATTTCAAACCCAGGCATTGTTCTATTGAGCTGACTATATTCATTTGAAATGAGTCGAAATAGCCAGCTATTTGGAACATTTCAATTTTGTGACAACAATAATTTGTTCATTCAATCTGTTGCCGCAAAATACCGTGAAGTTCTATTTTTGTATTTTAAATGTCTGTTTACATTTGCACATACACGTTGAAGAGACAAATTATTGTCGTCACAAAATTCAAATGTACCAAATATTGTATGTTTTGTTGCAAACAATGAGTTCCTTTGTTATGCGACATATTGAAATTTGATCGATTTGCATAGCTCTGGCTTTGGGCGGGGTACACGAGATTGATTAGTAAAAACATGTGACAAAAATTAATTAATTCTATTGATAACGAGAGAAAAAACTTCAAATTATGAGAGAAAAAATTCCCGAGTCCAGCAAATGGGGATTAATTAGTTTAAAAATGTTTCAAAAATGCTGTGAGTTGAGAGAATAATTAATTTCTGCACAGCATATGCCCAAACCGATTGTCAAATGGGCATAGAATGAAAGCCTGATCATTCGTGGATGTGTTCATGAGTAAAATTTGATATAGTTAATTTTATATTTTAGACAAGAATATGTACAGCCCGCCTAAAGTCATGGCTATGCACTAGAGGGTTAATATAACACAAAGAGTATTTGTCAAATACAATTCGAAAATGCATTTATGGCGATACAAGTATCATACTTTATCTCCCATTTCCGAAAATCCAGTTTATTGAAACAATACGTTATCGAGAGCGATAGGCAGTCAAGATTTATATTTTGAGGTTTTATTTTAATATAGATTTTAATGTAAACAATTTTTCGTGTGAGTCGGCTTTTGTTTTTGCGTCTTTTTTTTCTTCAAGCATACATAAGCCGATCTCAAGAAAGAGAGAACACAGCCATTACCATTTTAGATATTGGTGAATTTTGAATAAAAAACAGCAAACAGTTGCAAATTTCTCTTTTCTTTATTGCATCTAAGGAATGGATTTGTATCGGTGCCAAAACCACTTAACGTACATAATTCAAATTGTGTGTTATACGCATATATTGGACAATTAAATGAAAATTGTATGGCATAGCATGCCGTTACTTTGGTTTAATTTATACGAGAGAGAGAGATTGGTATGGTTTTTGGGATTTTTCCATTTCATTCTCGGCCACTTTATGTGAACAAAACAAAAGCATCCAAATCCAATTCGATTTACACGATAACAGATCGAATTAACGGAACCCGAAAAAAAAGAAACAGCCAACAACAACAATATGTGCGAAAAAAGAGAAAAATAAAATCCCGCCGATTGCGACCGATACAATAATAAATAATAAACAGCAGCCAAAGCATTCGTAATGAAATCAATGCAAAAGGAGAGAATGAAATCAGCAATAGCTTGTGAGATGCAAAGAGATTTATGTATATGGGATATTGTGATGTTTGCTCTCTTTTTTTCTTCTCTTCAGCGATTCTTACTTCTCATTTTCTCTACATCTCTGTTCCGATCATTCTGTCTATCTTTATCGAAAGTGCAACTATGCAATAATAAGAAAACAACAACATGGCCAAAACAATACACAAGATTATACCGATTCACTAGGTTTATATTCCAAAAAATGTTTCTATATCTAAAACGCTATACAAGCCGCACTATTTATTTTCCATCTTGCTTTCGACGCCTGCTGCCATAAGATGGGTCGCTCTTCAATAGCTACTCTCTGGGCTGGCAGTCGAGACTTCATATGATTGCATATTCCATATAAACCACACATTTTTACGATGATTGGATTGGAAGTGGATTTAGATTTTCATGGATTGAAAATTATTACAATGCAAACAAATGTTTTTTTTTCTTCTTCCATAGTTGTGATGTTGGACGTTGTGTTTTATGTACAGTACACGCACATCAGAAAGATAAAGCGAAGCGGAGAGAGAGTGAAAGAGAATGAGCAGCGAACGCAATGTGTATCCAAACTATAATTTACTCGATACATATACCATATGCACACTATATAGTATTATTTTTGCAATTTTTCTTCTTGAAGTTATTGTGTGCGTTTTTTTTATTGTTGTCTGGTGTGTTAAGCCGGATTGCACTTTGCATTATTATTTATATTAGCATTGGATTTTTAGTTTTCTCGCCCGCATCTCATATGCCATTTCTGTAATTTTTTTTTACAACTCACAAAAAATGATGATGATCATGTTGATGATTACAATTATTATATGAACAAGGTATTTTTGAACGCTTGATCAGAAAGTGGTTGCTTTTTGTCCGTTTATTATCATTTTTGTTGTTGTTGTTATTGCTTTAAAGTTTATTTCAAGTCACAACACATTAAATCACCAACAACCACACATGAACACTCACTGGTATATAAAATAAGTAAATTAAGTAGATGCACCATTGTTACTGTTACTTCGTCGTGAGAGTAAAAAGACAGAGAGAGAAAACTCTCGATTTTTTCCAACCATTATATGTATAAATTTTTAAAGTGAAGATAACGAAACCTTTCTCGAACAAAGCACTAAAACGAGAGGTGAAAAAAACTGTACAAAATAGTTATGTATTCACAACACAAACTCTGGCTATGTTTTTTGTCTTTAAAATTAGGAACTCAAAATGACTTTGCATTGTGCGTTTCGTTTTTGTTTTCTTTGTCGTCGGTTGATTTGTGAGAAATGAAAAAAAAGCTCCGCACAAAAGAATGAAATTGCAATTAATCGTTGCTCTTTGACTTTGATGTGGTTCGGCTTAATTGAGAATGAACCAAAAGTGGCATCACTTGAAAATGTGTCTCTTGTTTGCCATTTTGTGTAATTATCCGCATGACTTGTGACAACCATATAAAAGTCGTAAGAGCCATATATCACATACGATTGCTGACGAAAACATATAAACACACACGTTGCGCTGATAAGAGCGCATACACCGTTGTCTTTGTCATTAAATACAACTATGATCTAGTTTCTAGAAAAAGTGACAACAAATTAAAACAAGCTCACTCAAAAACTGGGCAAATAAACCGAACAAAAAAAACCAACAAAAACGACGACACCGTTACCGATGAAATAAACATCAAATTAAAATGAAATAAATAAATGAAGAAAAAGAAGAAAAAACATGTATTATATCACGTTTATTGTTTGCTGAGTATCTTTTAGCGAAACACTGGCAACAGTGTCACATAGAAAACGAATCTATCTTTATTCCAACCGAATTTAAACACACGCATCGAACGCAAACAAAAATTATTCGACTGAATGACAAAATTATGAGTACGTGAATTGTGTAGCGACATAAAAGACATAAGTAATATGTGATCTGTTTTAATGAAAGGTCAATAGACAGGGATTGTAGTAATGCTATTGGTGAGGTCTTCGTAATTGATGTGAGCCTTGATGCAATGTTGCAATGTATGCGCCTTGATCTACGCACAACTATCTTATGAATTATCTAAAGAATGCGGCACAAATGATTGATATAAAGATCAGTGATAGATGAACATTTTGGCGAAATAAACATTTACTGCATGAATGAAGTGTGAAAGACGGAAAACAATTGAATCAGATGAGCATTCAGATCTCATTCTCTCTTTTTCTTTCTCTCTTTCTGCTTCTCTATTTCGGTCACATTCATATGAACAGACACATTTTCGATGTCGCAAAATCACAACAACAATCGCAAAGAATATCACCACATAGAAACAGTTGTTGAAAAGAAAAACAATTTCTTCGTTTCCTTTTATTTTACATCGCCTTTAATTTGGCGTTGGCGCTCATTTAAAGCGTTCTATTGCTAGCTCATTGCTATTTAATTGTTTGTGGTTGAATGTTATGTATTTTTCTTCTTTTTTTATTCGCATATTCACATTTTGCCAATAATCTTGTGCATATACGCACACACAAACACATTGTTTAAATGCATACATAAAAGTACACATGCCCAATTTCGTTTACCGAATAATCAACATAAATCTTCTGAGTTTCAGTTATTTTTTATTTTTTTGTTCAGTATGACTTTGTTTCTCTTTCTGGGCGTTTATTTGTTTTTTTTTACTCTATGTCGGTCGATATATAATCGCTGCACCGCGTGTTTTCACGCTTTCAGTAATAGTGTCTTTTCTCTTCTTTGGTAGGCAACTATTCTCATTAGGATTTATTATATCTACTTATGCAGCTTAAGCTGTTATTATATATATTTTATTCATGGATTTACCATGTTTATGTTTCGTATCGGTATTGATCGAATTGTGCTGCATAAGTTCAGCGTCTATTGTTTATCTAATGAATGATATAGTTATGCCGTCAACTGAGTTTACTGTTATTGACGTTGCCGTTCTTTGCAACACGAAAGAAAGTGAAATATTATAAACACACACAATCTCTCTCTATTTAACTCACACTCTCTTTCTTGCTCTGATGATATAAATCACTGTGCGGTATGCAAATACTATAATAATGAACTAACCGAAGCGAAGACAACGGGGCTTATAATTATGAGCTGTATCAAATGCTGCCGCACTTTTTGAATTGGTAACAAAGAAAGAAACAAACAAACAAACAAACAAAAAAAAAAACGATGAATGAACATTCCAATGGAGCCAAAGTAAAAGGAAACAATGCACTGTTCGCGCGCGAATCATCCGAAAATTCCAAACACAAAATCGAAATGGAATCAAAGCAAACACCGTATAAATACGTATAGAGAAACAAAAATTGACTAAACGCAATACAGAGAAAGAGCGCGCCCGAAACGTGTATACGCATCAGAGCACATTAAACGGCTTACTGAGACTATGACGGCTCAGCCTCATCAATTGAGGGAGTTCGCTTAATGCAGCTACCAATTTGAACGCAACGAATATCGCATTTTTCGTTCATATTCATGTGATCGAGCGAACGCAATTCTGGGATTTTCTTTTAATGTGTGTTGTTGTTTTCCTTCTTCTTCAATTTCAATATTTTTGTTGTTTTGTTTGTGTTTCAGTCGGAAAATAAAAATAATTTACACTTTTTTTCACCATCTTTCTGCACCATGTTCACATTCACATTCACACCGAGTGCCGATTCGTTGCATCTTTGGCTGCCTGCCTTCTCTAACTAATTCGCATTTCAAGACTTTCTTTCTCTCTATAATATGTTTTTTTTTTCTTTGATTTTTTTCATTACAATCGATTGTTAATATATGTTGTCATTCTCACCCATTCTCCCTGCATTGAATTGGCATCACTTTTCTTTTGTTTTTATAAATGTGTTCAATCAGACAATTTTAGAAAAAATGCCGAACCGAAAATTGACTGGATTTTCATACCAAATGTCTAATGCGTGACAGTGTGAAAGAATGTGTTTGTTTTACCCTATTCTGTGTCAGTCACGGTCATTGCACGATATTTGTGTTTCATTCAAAAACACTCTTGCATATGTAATGAGTCCCAGTGAATTTCTGTATCGAGCCCGCAGAAAGGATGTAAGACATATCTATGTGCTCTTTTTGTTATGTTTTGTGTAGGTGACAATGACTGTAATCTATCTAGAATGTTGTATTCATGTCATAAAACGAAAGAATAAGAACAAAATGTAAAGCATCATCACGAAACGATGCGACAATTAGATGGTGTTTTCACAATCTGTCTTTGGTCTGCGGTTTTATTTTCTTTCCTGTCAATTTCACTTTTGTTTTCTTAGCCAGATTTTAAATATCGTTCCACTCATATGAATTGATGCGGCTAGATTTCGAAACATGATGAGGCTATTTTCGTTTGTCGCCCAATTCAACCAAAATGATATAAATGAATGTGTGCGCGCGCGCGTCTTTTGTGCATACTCGAGCAAATTACTTACGACAGAAGAGAAGAAGAAGAAAAAAAAAACTCACACACGTTGAACCATGTCATTGTTTGTAATTTGCTTATTTTTTGCTGGTCTGTGCAATTTATGTCTTTTTCGGTGACTTGAACTGATTTTGGAGTACTTTGAACTCGTAATGAAAACATACACACACACACAAACACACAGGCAAACATTTTCAATCAAATCTCACTCCATTCACATGAACACTCGCAAAATCTCAGACATTAAAATTGATTTTTAATTTTCTGACAAACATCAATTTATTCGAATGTTCATCGTCGCATAATCATTTTGCCAATAGTTCCACTCATTTTTTTATGGCATTTGATTGTTTTTTTTATTTTCGTTAAATGAAGAAAAAAAAACACATGTTTTGACCACCCAATAAATCTCGGCAAAATCACAATAGTCAATTGAATGACAATGAGAGAATCCCATGAAAAACGAATAATGCATAAAACAACAATATTTATATAAACTTTTTTTTATTTCTTGTACACACGAAATTCGCAATATTTTATGTTTTAACTTATAAACACTTAACAAATCAATATACTCATCGATTTTCACCACTATGCAATTCAACAAGAAATAAAAAATTAAATTGTCCTTACATTTTTCTTTTATTTTTCGTATTGTACAACAACTAAAACTGGTATTTGTTGCTATTTGTTTATTTATCGCGATACACTTCTTCTCTTCTCCGTCGTTGTCGTTTTCTGATACAGAAAAAAAACTATTCTACTTGACAAATGTCTATTTCTCCTTAATTTTGTAGTTTGTATTGGTCGAAAATGGTAACACTTGACGATGAATGAGAATGTGTTGCCCGATGTTAAATTCGGTTCAATTATCGAAAACATCGCAATTAAATTCAATTGAATTAAGACTATTTCGGTTTCGGCAAGTTTCATATTTTACAAAATAATTTGCGGTTTAATGAGTATGGTTGTATTTAAGTTTTCAATTCAATTGAATATTCTAAATAAGCAACTTTTTCGAACGGAATAAGAAATAAACATTTTTCATATGTTGTGGCGGCTTTTTTAATAATATTTTTCATTGCATTATCTTAATGTTGCTTAATCTTATCTTTCCTTCTAACGCCTTCATAAAGCCGTCCAAATTTCTTTTATATCGTTGATGACATGCATTTCTTTTGGCCCAATTCTTTAACAACCAGACGATTTCAAATGTCACCGCTAATTTTTTTACAATCATCATCAGTTGATTCTCCGGCAGCAACACAGACGACATCATTCTCAATAATATGAAAATGTTTTGTTTCATCAAACACAGATTCATTAATTTCATGATCTACTTTATTATGCGTTATCATTGTATTCATAAGAAAAAAACTTTTATGTTGTAGACGACCCCAGACGAACAATTCCGTATGTTAACAACACTTAGACAGAAAGAATTTGATTGCAATTTGAATTCGACGCTATAAATTGTATAAAAAAGTAACATTAAAGAAATCAAACCAATTATGAATATTTTTTATTAATATGCTATTGAGATTATGTGATTGTCATTTTGTTTATTGGCAACAAATTTTTTGATAAGAATTGTTCTTATTTGGTGAGTGACAAAAAAGAAAGTATAAACAAACACTTTTTGTTTCAATATGGAATTCTTGTGATTTTTTGAAAACAAATGCAATATTTTATTATGTTATAATAACAAAATATAAGTTACATTCTTTTTCTTCTTCAAATTTTTATTGAAATTTTTCGGTAAAATCTAATTGAACACGTTCTATTGTTATAAGTAAAGCCAAAAAAAAAAAATCTAGATGTTCATGCGTGTGTGGTTGTTGTTTTTAAATGTTTTAAAACTATTATTCAACGATTGTGACATGCTCAAACGTACAAAATCAGTAAATGCTGTAGATAAACCATTGGTTTTGTTAAGTGTTTCAAACACAATTGTTAAGCGCGTGTTTCGTTAAACGATATTTCTGTGTGTTTGTTATATGTCGTGTACAATTCAAATTTTTCCTGATCAAAAATTTTGGTGATGGCCATGTGTTTTATTTTGGTGGTTTATTTTTATCGCCAGAAAATCGTTTTAGTATCATCATCAATCTCTTGCTACAAACAAAAATCAATATGAGAGTCAATGGTGTGAAGCAATTTATTTGGCGGCGGGCTCCTTAGTAGCCGGTGTTGCTGTTGTGGTATTGCTTGCTGCCCCTTTAGCTGCCTTGCTCTTTGCTTTGTGTTTTGCACTTTTGTTTGGAATTTCAGACAAAACTAAATCTTTCATTTCGGCGTCAAGAATATTATTTTCGCTTTCGTATTGATTTACATCGAATGGTAGTCCAGTAACGAGATTTAGGCCCGATGGCATCAACAACACTGTAAATTTGAATTGCGCAACGATTTCGCCTGAAAATTAAACGAAAAAACACATTTATTAGGTATATTCAGGATATAAATATGACAACGATATGATGTTTGAAACCTACTTGGCTTTTCATAGAGAACTTGGAAAGGTTCGATCATCTTATGCGATATGCACTCAACAACACCCATACGGGCCTTTGTTTCTTCTTCGAAGTGTCGCAAATTGAATGGCATATTTCCATGCTTGTTTCGTACCTAATGTGCGGATAAAAACACATCCATTCGTTTCTGATTAGTTTTCAAAATGCGATTGAATATTCAATCAAAATTACCTCGGTGATTAATGCTCGCGATGCTTTCAATTTAAGTTGATAGTTTTCGTCAGTTTTCTTGAAAATTGATACTTTCGTATCCTTTTCGCGGCCAACACCTTCACCGGTACTGATTAATACATCAATGGCATACACTTCGTGCAATGCAAATTCACATTTTTCATGCTCTTTACGTTGTGCCTCATTCGGATTCTGGATAATGGTTTTTTCGCCATCGATTTTAAATTGCTTCAATTGATGACTCAACATACCTTCGATTGGTTTGCATTTGTATTCACTAGCAATTTTCTGAACAGCTTCAGTAATTGCATAATTCTGTGTTTCAACAAGAAACAAAACAAAAAATCAATTCAATCCTTTAATTGGGAAGAATATTGAATATACTTACACCCGTGCCTGGTTTAAGAAGTCGCAATGCGGCTTGGCTGGCCCAATATGTGGCTAAAATGACGTCAGCCTGACGGCCACTAACTTTGGATGCAGCATCCGATTTGGCAACCACTGTATGTGCAGCAACAGCAATGAAACCATCGATGTGTGCACCAAGATCAATTTTAACAACATCACCCTCTTTCAATAGATAATCAGGGTCATTTTTCGTTGGCGAGAAATGGCAAATGCAATTATTCACCGATAGACATGTTGGGAAAGCGATTCCTTTTTTTATTTCTTTTTCCTTCTTGAATACCTGCATTACAATATAGAAAATAAGGTTCAATTAAAAAATTGACACAAAATAAAAAACAAACTCAATGTTTACCTTTGAGGTTTCTTCCAACAAAAGTTGGTCACCTTTTTCGCAAATTTCTTTGACCGATTTTTCTGGAGCAACTAAACCTAACAGCGTCTTCAATGTTCCTGTGTACATCAAAAAAAAAAAAAAAAAAAACAAAAACAAAAAAAATAAGTATGAATCATTCAATTGTGTGAATCAAGAAAATGTACGTAGCAGCAATAAAAAAACATTGAGGTTAGGTTTATCGAAATTTGAATACGAATACACAATTTTTCCGCTTTGTGAATAGAACGGAAATGTTTTTTTTTTGTTATGAAATTGTGTCTCTGGAAACAATCGAATGCATTGTAATCACTTGAACAATCAACTGAAACAACGGGATTATATGTGTTTGTATGGTTTGAATGGCGGTATTATTTGAAGCCAAGCGTAAAATACCGCGTGGCTTTCAACATATGCATCATAGTAAACACCGTAATGAAACATCTGATTTTAAGGTTAATAAATTGTTATTTGCCATTTGAAATGTGTATTCTCCCATTGGTTTTGCACTTTCATCATTTATATTTGAATCGAATTTAGAAAATGACTTCATGTACAGTAAATGATTCGGACGGTTGTTCAATATGATGATGTGTATACATGGTTTGTGTTTGCTGTTGTTTGAGTTTTTGCTATCGCCAAAATATAGTGTGTATGTGTTTTTTTTCTTTTCGTTTCGAATCGTCACACATTCACAATTACTTACTATTTACAATTTCGCCAGCTAGTTTATATTTCGTGACAACCAAATCCTCCGAAATGGTCTTTTCAACTTCCTTTTCTTCAGTATTAGCAGCCATGCTTCAAAATTTTATTATATTTTTATATACTGTTGGTAACCGCACGAGAGAGCGACAGATAAAAAGAAGAACAAATAAATAGAAAGAAGAAAATGTTATTAAACGAGAAAATTCGGTTCCAAAAGAAGAGCAAAATGATTGCGAATCTGTCAAATGTGAAAATATGGTTAAAGAAATCGAAATGTGAGCCTTACTTCTGCGGATGAATAATGCGAATAAAAACAGCAACAGCGGTAGACACGATTTTCAAGCGATGTGACAACACGTATACAACATGCACACCATTACTTAGTATGCGACATACACACAGCGACCGTGCACGTTATTTTATGTTACGCTATTTAATCCGACGCAATATGATTGTGCGTGTGTGAGGCAATCTATTAGAATGGAAGAAAAAGAGGCGCGCTGCTTACGTATCTGTGGTATTCGTATGAACTAGATGGACAATTTTGACAATTGCCATTCGATTTGAATGAAAATTTCACATTGATAATTATATCACCTTTTATTTACGTCAGTCTGATGATTTATCAATTTCATCATTGTGTGCAATGAGCGCTTTTAATCAATTGATTTGTCTGGGTTGGGTTTTTTTTTGCTTTATTTTTTTTTTCACAAATAGTGAATTGTTTTAAAAGTTGCATTTCTCTAATCAATACAAAAACAACAACAATAACTTACCTTGAATGAGAACACAGGCAATGGCATGAGGATAGCAAAAATAGCATCATAATTAGATTTACATCTCATTTTACCTAGATGATAGTTATTTTTGAAGACATTAAGAGCATAACAACTTACCGTGAGCAAAATACTGCATTACCGTTTGAATATTTCAAGTTCGAATCGTTGTATTCGAGTTCGAAATGAGCAATTCTAAGTATTCATGAGTATTTTTGAGTAAAATGTAGGGGAAGATGTACTTAAGGCGTATTCGTATATACATAAATGATGAATAAATAATAAAGTTTGCCATAAAATCATGTTTGTCTCAGTCAGCTTTTTATAGTAACGCACACAAACAGGCACAAATAAAAACAGAATTCATTCATAAAGAAGCAGGGAGCGTTATAACACTTTTATGACCATTTAACATGCAAAGTATGCTAGGAAAACATTTAAAAATCAAAACAAATTTCATTTTAATTTTTCTTACTTTTTAATACATTATTATTAGTTTTTGTATGTATAATTTATTATTTGTTAAGATGGTTGTTTTCTTGTTGTTGTTTTTTTATTTATTTTTTTACTAACCATATTTTACAGACCATTGCTTGGTTGTATGCACCGTATGGAAGGTTGAATACAACACTATGGATTGAGATGAAAACAAAAAGCATTGCTTAAAAATAAAGAGCAACCTGCTTGAATTAAATTCAACCTTCCATGTTGAACATCTCATGATTTATTCATACCATTAATTCGGGATGGGTTTTTATTTTCTTGTTTTCGGTATCATGGTTTTTTTTTCTTTCATTCAATCCCAATGGTTTTGTATTCCAATGCTCAATGTCGACTATTTATAGGAATCGATTACATTCATGGCCAGTATGTGCTTCTTTTTGCACCCCAAAAAAATTTGTTATTCGATTATCGGTCGGCATTTAAGTGTCGCCGTTTCAAGTTCGTGTGTCAACTCAATTTTCAGCACAACGAAGATATTGATCAAATTTCGTTAAAAAAAAAGTTATGTAAAGTGTTGAAATAGAGAGAGGAGTGCACGAAAGCACGAAAGAGCGTCGAATGGTCAATTATTTCGATTTGTATGCCGAACAGAGTTTGTCTCAAATTTTTCTTTTTTTACTAGAACTGATGACGACGACCATTATTTTGGTTGTAAGAGCCGGTTTTCTACGTACACCACACAGACGTCTGTATCGTTTTGTGTGTATGTGGCTTCAAAACACATTCGACCAGAAACCAAGATAATGTCTTGTTGTATTTTCTCGTTCTCATGAGGCTTTTTGGAATCAACTAACAAATCAACTTGATTAGTACTTAGAATAATAACACTGTTGCCCAATTTAATCGACTTATACGATCAATTTTGTAAACTTTGAAATAAGTTTGGTCGCAATCTCGCTTGTAAAACGCAAGCTTAATTTTCATGAAACTCGATACGATATTCTGTTTTAAATTTAATCGTATGCTCCACAGATTTTGGTGAATTTAACCATGTTGAATGGGTAGTTTACCCATATAACGTAACTTTTAAAGGTCTTTAAAAACAATTAAACAAAAATAATATCGAAGTAGCGATGCATTAAAATAAAGAACAAGTCAAAATTCGGCTGGCGCTTCTATAAGTTTCTAATTTGAATTCAAATATACGATGTGATAAATTTTTATAAGAAACATTCCAGATAGATGTGCTTTCAACCAGCGCCTCTGTATTCAAATGCAAAGAAAGAAAGAAACTGTTTGTATCTATGTCCTTCGACCAAGTTATAGTTATGGGGAAAATCGTTTTCATTCAATTTCTAAAGTGGTCTCACATTCGAATGAATAGAAATGAAACATTTTCAGACATCACAAACAAAATGATGATCGTAATTTTGTGTGTTGACTTATTGTGAACGAAAAATTGCGTCATTTCGAAAAGTGAGTCAAGTTTATTTCAATTCTAATTTCCGTCACGGTGAATTCATTTCAATGCTGTGTCGTTTATTTTTGTCTTGACTTTCAATGTGGTTGACAAAATTTGGGGAAGAAAATTCACATGTTTTTTTGTGCCCAGTCACTCCCGAAAATATAAATTGAGAATACGTCATATACACATATATTTTTTTTCATGTTGGTCTTCAAACGAAGTGTGCAAAACCGGCTCTGGTCGTTTTGTTTTGCCATAAGCGAAATGGCACGATTTAATTTATATGCAAATCTAAATGTGTGTATGTATCTATGGTTTTTATCTCTTTGCTGGCAAAAATCACGGAAAATAAAGAAGACCGAAAAGTATTCGAAGCTTTTTGAGATATGATTTTAATAGTAGTAGCTAAGTTTTCAACTATATTGATTCATTTGATTTTTAAAGGTTTTTTTTTGTTAAGTATAAACATCTACAAGTAAAATAAATCACTTCAGTAAGTTTATTCACATTTAATCGACTTAATTCATGTGTTTGAATTTTCAAATCTGTATTATACAGTTGATACAAAAAGTGGTCGGTCATCTGCAAAATTTTATTTATTTTCAGTTGTTTCGTTAGCTTTCATTCACGTATTTTGTAGGTCATCCGATATTGTGTAGGATCTGACTATTTCAAACTATTTCGATTGTCGAAGAAAAAATTCGCTTTTTGTAGTGCTACTTGTGATTGATAGACTCTTCTCTTTTTTTTTTGCATGAAAAGCGCAACAAGATTAGGTCACAAATTTGGCAGTCATTTTATTTGCACACGATTCATGTGACACAAACTTTTCAACCATCTCCATCATCTTAAAAGAGTTTTACATATTTTCTAATACAAACAATAATAATTTTGCTGTTGGCCGAAATCTTTTTGGACTGATTATATATATATATATTATTCAACTGACGTATGCTGTATATGTACATACGTTTTTTTATTTCTAATTTTATTATCATCAAGTGTTTGTTTTTCTTCTCTATTCTTTGGTAATAAAAAGAGATATGATTGTTCAATTTATGTTTTTATGATATTTTCGGATATGATTATCGTTCAAAGTAACACTTTCAATCTTTCTCTTTTTCTCTCTTGCCAATATAAGCTGTAATCAATTAACTAAGTTCCTGAATTTCATTCAGTTCGGCAGCATTTCAGGCATGATTCCACAATGAAAGAAAGAAAGAACAGAGAAATTGAAGCGTCGACAAGTTTGCATCGTATATATTTAAATATGTATTACATTGCGATGCAATTTCTAGAGGCTCTTTTTCGATAAGAGATCTTGGGAACAATATAATATACAAAACTCTTTACACACAATCTTGCATACTTGATAGTCATATAATTTAATCCAAGCCAAAGACTTTTCTATACCCAGTGAACAACATTTTGTATCCAGTTCAGTTTTTTTACTTTTCATACAGAAACAGCCTTTGGTTTTGATGTTTTCTTAAAAAATGATTTGAATTCTATTTTATTTATGAAAAATACATGTCCAACTATCGATTATGTGTTTTCTGTGTGTTTGTGTGTGTTTGTGTGTGTGCATAAAGAGTTTTGTAATCGAATCACAGTGTGTTAATCAATTAATTGGCCAAACCGATTTGAGTGAGTTAAGTTATTATCCAGTTGAATCAAAATGAACATTTAACATATTCAACTGTCAAAGTGACTAAAGTATCAATCAAACGGATTTGATTTATGGTTTATGTGTGTGTCTGTGTGCTTTTTTTGTTTTGTTTTTGTTTGTTCGTTTGCAGATTATTTTCTACATGAAATGTTCCGAGTCACTGATTGGGATATTGGGATTGATTGTAAGCTCTGACACAGAGCCATTGTTTAAGTGATGTGTATGGGTGTGCTTCATTTATGTCATATGGGCTCACTGAATCTGTGAACATATACCAAGAAATTTCTCATTTGAATAGAGAGAAAAAAGTCAAAGAAAAGGAATGGGACCGAAGGTGGGAGGAGGCGCACAGAGAAAGATGATTAAATAGTATAGTACTTTTTTGTAGTATAACTCGCCACGTCATGTTGTTATCATGCTTAAATTCTTGCATTCGTAAATGTATGGGTGTTCAATGCTCTGTACTATTTTCAAAAACTTGACAAATTCTTTATGTGCATTGGACATGCGAAAGCATACCCATCAAAATGAATGAAACCAGATAGGATAGTAGAACAACAACGAAGAAAAAAAAGCAGCTATGTAATGCAGATGGAGTGATGTTATGTGAATGATTTTTTCAATGGGTTTTTAAGTGTCATAATTTGCATTGATATTGATGCTTTTCCACATAGTACAACAATTTTTTAAAGTTCATTTAGCTACTAACACAGTATTAAATTAACTCTATTTATAGAATAGTGAGGTTTTTCGTACTGCAAGACCTCCAATATCATCATTATATCTTATTATTATTTCTACTTTTCTTTAAATATTCGTTATCAATTTGAATTTAGGCAAAACAATAATATTCTCTCTTCATTCTTTTGTATAAAATAAATGTGAACGACTTCTTTATTCTCATAAATCTGTTTAGAAAGAATTGAGAATACAATCAAAATATTCGAAGACTCAATATTACATTGTATAAATAGTTTTGTTGTTGGTGTTGAGAATGTAATTAAAAAAAAAAAAAAAGAAAACACGACGATCTTTTAATGTGCATGATATTCCTCTACAAAAATGTGAAACAATTGATTTCATGGCCATTTGCATCCTCACTGTTTACCACATTCAGTCCAATAACTCAGTGAAAAAAAAGTATTTCACAACTGTTTCAGCAATGTGGCCCTAAACATACACATTTATTCGAATATAGAATTAAAAACACGATAGCAAAATAGTACCATTTACGAAATTCGGTTCAAGAATTTAAAGTTTATGTAATGTTTTGCTGTTTTTGCTGATGATGTTTATTTCTTCCTTCAGCATACTTCCTCTATTTTTATGAGAACCATGTTGTATATCGTAAGTTAGGCCAATAACTATATATATATATAAAGTTTATATTTTATGCAAATGAATATTTGTAGTTGAAGAAATTGTTGATTTTTTTTCTCCCTTTATTTTCATTTTTATGAGTGAATGTCGAAGCGTTGCATAGAATATTGATGTTGCTTTTCAATATAAACATAAACAAACACATGTATGTTGGTGCTATTCGGTCTGCATGATGTGTGAGGCGGGATGAATCAACGGAAGATACAATACGATTTTCCCAAAATTTCACCAACCATATCGATTTTCGTTTAGGAGCATGTATGGTGTTACGATTATTATTATTTTTTTCGGGTACACAGCAAAAATGTCACATACGATCATCGCATATGTTTGGCCTCCCCAATTGTGTGTCAATTTGTTTTTGTCTCGCCAAAATAGCGCACATCATGTATGTGCATGTCTATGTGTAATGACAGTAACACTTCCTCTCTCATACAACGAGCGAGTACTGTTTTTATATCCATCCGTATGATGACATATATCAAAGTGTGCTAATATTTGGTGGCACAGCTTTTAACCTAAATTATCAACAGCAATAAATTCTATTTAATATTTTCTCTCTGTCGGTCTGTCTCTCTTTGTTTTCGTTCAATTCATTTGAGTTATCGAGATTATAATGTTGTTGTTTTTGTATCGGTTCGATCTAACTTAATGATAGATTTTCCATTTTTTACAAAAAAATATATTCATATATGTATAATATTTATAATTTATGTTTTCTTTACTTTTTTAATCATCACTTTTGTTTGATAGTAGTAGTTTTCTTTTGGAAGGTTTTGAGAGGATTGTCGATGGGTTGTACATTATGTTATTGATTATTCTTTTTTTTTTGGTTTAAATTTAGTAATAATTATTTTTGTTTATCTAAAAGTTTAAGTCAGCGTTTTAGCTGAGGAAAGCGAAAAGTCAAACCAGAAAATGAAAGTTTTTTGTAGTTGTTTTAACTACAGATTAATATCTAAGGCTAAGGGAAAATATCGATATCGGATATGTTTACAAATATTGCAAAATATTGTTGCACATAATTCGAAATGTAATCGTTAATCGAGATTTTCCCTTAGATGAAAGATCCTAGGGGGTAGACACCAATTCAAAATTAAAAATCTATGTTAAAATACTCAATTGTATAATTTCATTGATTCCAACGATTCCATTAGAATTATAATAAAAAACACAAAACTCACAAATCCGAAGAATCCGAAGGATCCGAAGAATCTCATGAATCATAGGGACTTTGACAAAGTCACTTTGTCAATAATATAAAATGTGTTGATTGTTGAGTTAAATTTTATTCCATTGTTAAAAGTCGGTAAAAATGAAATCATTGCATAAACAAAAATAATTGAATTTTATTTTAATTTATATTTGCTAGCATATTTATTTTCTATAAAATCAACATACATTTGTATGTCGAAAGAAAAAACACAAAAATGTAAATATTTAATGAATCTGTGGATCTTTACGAATCTGTGAATCTGTGCAAATCATTGGAATTATAGCAATTTAAATCAAAAATTGAATCGAATGTGAATCTTTGTAAAATTTTGTAATCATACTAATCGTACAAATCCGACACAAAAGGTGAATGGATTCGCGGGTGTCTCCCCCCTAGGAAAGGTCTATATATTGTGAGTAAGAGTGCTTGTCCTTTTTTGCTGTGGTTGTGACAACTTGTGAGTAACTTTCGTCTAATCGTTTTGACCTTTACGCTTTCTATTTAACTCTATTAAATTTATAATGCAAGTTTTCTGCGGTGTGAATTTTGTTTTCCACTCTCTCCAAACAATTCAACGATTCGAAATGTATTGTTTTATTATATCGTTTTGAACAATGATCCAAACCTTTTTGTTTTATTGTGATTTTTAATATGAAATTGTTGCGTCACATTTATGTTGATCGAATATTTTGTTGTTGTTGTTTGTGTGTGAGCACGTTTTGGTTGTTGGTTTGCCTTTAAATATGCATTTGTTGGATTTTATTTTCATTGATTTCAATGCGCACACACACACAGAGTACGCTTACAGAATCATAGTAAATCACTTTTATTATTACACATTGTTTATCCGGGTGTTTTGTTTACGGGTTTTGTCTGTGTATGTGTATTGTATGCTTTTGCCAAGTTGCCTATAAAAATAATCTTTCATTCAAATTTATATCATATACTTTATATGTAATGTAAATAAATAGCCGATTTACTTTAGTGTATTTTGTATTCCATTCCTCGAATAGACAATATGTGTGAATATCTCCTTTTGTATTATGTACAACGCATTCAATAAAGCACAGCAAATTTTTGCTTGTTTAATGTGTGTCACATCAATTGATATTATATTACACATCCTTTTCCAAATGGTTTCGGAGTGTTTGGCTACTTGTTTTTATATTGTTTTATTGTGGCAATCAATATTCAGTTGTTATTTTTTGTTGTTTCTGTTTCCATTTTGGTGATGAGAGAGTTAGATTCATCCCAATCCGAAATTAGTTCGTTTATTAGCATTTATTACATATACACTTTAATCTCGTTTTCTGCATATTTTAATGTGGTTTTAATATACTAAATATGTAGTTACAAATTAGAGCAGATTCCATGTTGATTCGCATTTTTTTTTTTATATCGCTAATACAATAGCAGTCACTTTTGGATATCCGCATATAAAATTCACTGTAATTTTCTTTGCATTTGTACCATTCTCATTACAAGCTTTTCACAATAAACTTCTAAAAAATATTTTTTTCTTTATTTTCATTTCATTTACATTGTCCGCACAACATCATTATATAAATGCGTTACTTTCTTTTCACAAAAATATATATTTATTTAGATTGTATTTGTGTATTTAGTTGCAAACATCGTCATCATCATTATTATGGTCAATGTGTGCGATATTATTTCGATTAATTTTTGTTTATATTCATCATAATAGTCAATAATTTTGAATAAATATTTTTTTTTGTGTGTATTGTATATTCGTCGTTTTCATTTTGTCTCAAAATGTAGTCCGTTTCATCAAATTAAAACATAATAAAAATTAGGCCCACTAAAACTTTTAGCCGAACATTTGTTCGTTGATGTTGCTATAGTTGGTTTATCATCAGCTGAAAAATCATGCTAAAAATGTGTGTGATATTTTTCTTTCTCTCTAATATATTCAGTTCATATTCATTTGTTTGTCTTACATAAAATATAAAAGTTAATTAGAACCGAAAAAAGGGTTGATCATCTCATTTTTCCCCTCTCTTTCTCTCTATCTGTATCTGTTCTCGTTTTCTATTCTATTCAGTTATAAATGTTGATATATTGAATGCTCGTATGTATCGCTTCATCGTCAGTGTCATCGGGTTATACCAGAGAGGTGATGGGAATTTGTTGTTTTCGGTCGAGTTGTCGTTATATATGTTTGGTTTTTATTTATGGCGTTTTGAATATATCTGGTGTTGTCTCTATATCTCTCTGTATAATTTGTTTTTATTTTTGTGTGAATTTTAGTGAATGTGTTTTGCTTATCTTTTTTGCCATGACAAAAAAGAAGCAAAAACCCCGTCCTATTTGGTCTTTGTGAGCCGTTTTTCTGACGATGAAGCGCTCAATGTACGATTCAATTTACTTTTCGAGCCTTTATGCGATTTCGAGAATTCATCATGTGGATCGCGGCGTGTGCACGATGAACGACGTCGACCGGTCAAACACAACGAATTAAAAATGTTGCTATCACTGTTATCATGATTACCTTGTTGACCATCCTGAAATGATGAACGCCGTGAACCGGGCAATGAATGCGAATAATCTTTGCCCAATTGATATTGTTCGACATTTAATTGTTCCGATTGCGATGAACCGCGTCGCGAACCACTTGTCCATGCATGATCCGGATGCAATAACGATGATGCATCACCAATTGAATCAACATCATCCGATGATGAACTGCGCAAATGTTCACCACGATGTAATCGCGTATAACTATGACTCATATCATTATGAATTGGCTTTGACCAATCGCCACTACTACCTTTTGACACTTCCAACGAAACCGGACGAAATGATGATAATGTTGATGTTGCACCAGTTGCTGATTTATTTCCACCATTACCACCTGATGCTGAATCCATTGAGGAATTCGTTTGAATATTGGTCGCATTATTTTGCTCTTCGATACGACACCAAATCGCTCCATCATCCAATAAAGCTTTCTGAATGTCAACCGTGCACACGCCCAAAAATACAAATTCGGCATGCGGCACCATGTCCCATAATTCGATTTCAACATGCCGCTTTAGCAATTCATCAGCCTTAACATTCGGAAATATTAACGTTGCATTCCATATGGGATTTTGTGTGGGCGCTGACACTTCAGTACGTTCTACATGACCATTGTACCTAAAATATGAAATTTAAGTTTTGCATTGTTCATTGGTTTTTTTTTTTATTTTATGGCAATATTTATGTGTGTGAGTGTGTGCTTCATTAGACGATACGATGAATTTATTCAAGTTTTTTTTTCATTCTGCTATGATATCTTCTATTAATTATGCCAAACAATAAAAAAAAGTGTGATTTCCGGTTAATTGATTAATTGATTACTTGGTACACAAACATAAAATTAAATATTTTTGAACAAAAAGACGTAAAATAATTTCTTTATCTGGCCATATGTCATAATAACGGATGCGATATACGATCAAATATATACCACACGGACAACATTCAAATACTCAAATACGAATTTATGTGCGTTCAAAAAAATATATGCTCTTTTTTATAAATTAAAAACAAATAGTTCTGATAACAATAATTATGAGAATAATACAATATCGAATTGAATAAAATAAAAATAAAATGTTTTTATGTATTTTACTCATATCACATTTTGGTGTTACAAATTTTATTGCTAAAAATGGCATTTGTAAGCACGGCAATCATTTTGGCTCTTACTTTTTCCTGGTGTGTCTTTATTTCAAATTCAGTTTAAAAGCATATGTTGAAAGAATGTCCATTCTGCAAAATCGGTGATTTTATAACAAACAAGACAGAAACAAATACCTACAAATTTGTATGTACAATGTGTGCAAAAATTGCCGCTGTGTCGGAAACCTTTCTCATCCTGGAAACAAAAACACTGAAGGGGAGAAAGAGTGAGACAAATCAAAAAAAAAAGTAGTGAATAACTGTAATAAGCCAAACAAGTTGTTTGCCACAAGCAAACTAAAGTAGCGAAACCATTTTTTACATGGAAATTAAATGATGGGACTTCTCTATATCCCACTCAAAAGCAAAATTGCAGTTTACCATCGAAGACAATAGACAAGAATGTGAGCGTCAGAGACAAAGACGGCTGCATGGGTTGGAGTTATAACATTTTAATTCAATTTTCAAGAGTCATAGATTATGTTCGGTGTTGTGTTTTTCATTATTCATTATCATTTGGGCGTACTTCTAACTATTAAGCCATCTGGAAAATACACCTAATTCAGGTCACATTTCGTAATATAAAACAAAAGGCGAAAATGAGTCACAGAGAAGGAGAGCAAAACAGAAGATAGAAGAAATAAGAGTAGGTGATGATGATTCTTAGATATTTGAACTCTCCTCTTTCCATGTCTATGCACTTGATGGAAGAGAGTGTGATTCATTGTAATCAGTGGACAGAACAATGGAATTGAAAAATTTAACGATGTTTTTGTTTGCGAAAGGAAAATAAAATTGTTGTAATAAAATAATCACTACCAAGAATTGCAATAAACAGGCCAACTAGAAAAAAAACGGATGCAATACCCACAACAGCAGTATTGAACATACACTTGTGAATGCAAATTCGGATGAAGATTACGTGTAATCGAAACGCTTTAATCTAAAAGTAAGATGCTTTTAAGCTGAAAAATCTATTTCTTTTACGATTCCATCTATATCCACAGTGCAAATATATCACTAGCTATTTGAAAAAAGAAAACTTTCGGGATCGCGTGTGTGTATGTTTTGTGAGAAAATGTGTTGCCCGAACCAGACACCAAAAACAGAAAATAGAACAAAACCAAAAAAATATGGCCAAACACGTTCAAAATCAAATAGTCTATTTAACTTGAACCATAAACTTGGTAAGTTAAAGAGATTGTACAATGACTGTTTCTTCTATCCAACGAATGTGCGAGAAAACTTTTTTCTTTCGTGAGAACGATGGTGGCGGAAAATGGATGAATGTTTTTTTTTGGGTTTATGCATGTTCTTATAATTTATATGCCAATAAAAAAGAGAAATGTATGAATGAAAAGGAAAAAAAAGGAAAAGGCAAAAAGAGACCAAGGGTATCCACAAAATGGACCATCTGCATGAATAGCATTTCATCAATTTTATGCAAAAATGCTCGGTGCTCAATTCAATAGGTGCGTGTGTTGACTTAATGTGAATATAAGTAGTTGCATTGCATTTGATTCGTGTACCAAACTTCTTTTTATATGTATGTGTGTGTGTGACAAAAAAAAACGTTTTTCCATTCGTAAATTTTTCGGTTTCTTTTAAACTTTCATTTAAATACATATAAAAAACGTAAAACGATTTATACAGTACAGAAAAAATGAGCCGAAAATGAATCAAAATCCAAAGAAAAGTCTATTTATATATACTCACTCCAACAAGGAACCAAAACAGAACTTTGTATATTGATACACGCACAAAAACGAATAAAATTAAACAAGCGCTAAGATAACTATATTCAATTGAATGAATACGCTTTTTTTTGCAAGTGAACTTTTAAAGTCTGACGGTGAAATCAAATTAGCTAAACAGAACCGGTACAAAACAACAACAAAAAAAAGTATAAAACAATATATGAGACCCAAACACAACATGAGAACACAATATGAATAACTAAATAAATGAACATAATAATGTCTCCTAATACGAATAAGAAGCGCAATCCCAAAATCCAACGATACACGTACGAAAATGGACTAATGTAATGTTGTAATTGAACATAGTGTATTTTGGTGTGTCTGTATGAGGAAAATGCGGTTTCAGAGACAGGGATAGTGGATGTGGGTGTGTTTGTGTGTGCTTGTGTTTTTTCAGTGTAAAGTGTGTATTTAAATGCAACTGGGCATTTGATATAAATAAATAACGAACAAAAACAAGTGTAGTTAATGTATATGCGTGATGTAGCACAACAGCAATAACAACGTAAAAAAACAAATGATGCTAACCTCTCGTTTTTCAAGTGATTCAATAAACAAATTTACGATCCAATAGCGTATCAAATAACATTTAATTAATTCCATTTTGAACATTGATAGCAAAAAAAAACACGTGAACGGATTAAAATGTACTTCCACTCGAATTGTTCACACTCGATACGGTGACATAAATTTTACGGGTGAACATTTCAAACAGAAGTTGAAATTTGTTGATGTTCAACATAACTTTGTCTGAACGTAAGAAGCATAAACTTCAAAAGTTAGAAAGTTAAAAATTTGTCCATCAACAATTCTCAACCGCAGGCTGAACTTTTTGGGAACACATTTTTTTTTGTTCAGCAGTTTTTTTGTTCTTCACTTTTGTCTAATTTCCAATTGAAATAAATTAAAACATCAAAAGAAATTTGCCTCGGATTTTGGATGTTTTGTGCGTGTATGCTTTTATTACAGAAAGAATACGTGTGCAAATTTGTAGTCTGTTTGTGTGTGTGTGTTTTAAAAATATTTATAAGAATGAAAGTGATGAAATAGATTGTGTATGTATGTGGTTATGTGTGTATGTTGGTTGTGAATGGCATGTGGCGTATTATTGAATACACGGAATGTAAGCATTAACCACTTCGGTAAATATTGCTTACTGGTAGAGAAAAAAAAGTTTTTTTTTCGGTTGTTGGATGGTTTTTTTTGTTTGTTTTGGTTTTACGTACATTTTGGGTAAAATGCGGACTTTGGCGAATGTTTCTGGTAATTTACCATGCCCAGCTTTTTCATCTCTGAGAGGTAAGTTGTCAGCGGCCATTAGGGATACAACTAATTCTTCACGATCTGTATGATAGCTTAATTCGAATTGTACTCGCCCTGATACTTTTTCTTTTAGTTGTCTCTAAAATAACACATAAAGAGATGATGTTAGATCTATTAGTCTTTTTTTTAAACACAGGGAAATGTTTCTTATAGATTTTGATTGTTTTTTTTTTTTGTTTGGTGATGGTTATGGTGGTATTAGTGGTAGCTTTTTAGTGATTTATTTATATAAATATTTTATTTTTATTATTGGTTTTGATTAGCTTATCATTTTGAATTATGAAGTTTGATTCATTGTAATATATGAATACAAATGATGGTCTCTGTGAAAGATGTGTGTTTGGGGCAATGAACAATAAATTGAAAGAAAGTAAAAACTATACGAACTCAAACTCAAAAGTCAAAACTTAAAATTCAAACAATTCAATTCGAATACAGTACAAATATAGCAAACTACCAAGTGCGGAGTCTCATCAAGAATGTTGTCTTCCAGTGTGTTTCAAAATAAACTACATTTCTCTACACTTGTAAGAGCTCTATTTTCACAGCAAATTAAAATAAAAAACGTATACCGCTCTCTGTTTGCATTAAATAGAATGACAAAAACACACAGATAGACAAAAAGGAATACAGATATTAATAGAGAATCTCTAATTAGAGTCAGACATTGAATCACTATTAAGAAAATATTGTTCACGAAATTTATAGAATACAATATATATGCCACTAGAAAATAAGCGATAGTGCAATCAAAACTACCGTCCGTGTTGAAGTATTTCAGTGATGTGTTTGTTTGTTGATTTGATTGAGTTGTTTTTGTGTTTGGTATATGCAAAATTTCAGATTGTTTGTCTTTGTTTACGATTTTTTTGTTGTTGGAGTGGAATATGCCTGTAGGATAGGTGTTCATCTAAATGAATTTGATTTTCGGTTGGCTGGTGCCTTCGAGCACACTACTATATACATTGGTGTATGATTTAATTTCTGCCGAATTTTGTTTTGAGACTCGGTTAATACTTTCTACCGTGCTTGCTACTTGTTGGATCAATCCGAGTTTTGCTTTGGTTTTGTGTTTAAATTACAATGTTGTTTGCTTCGATTTTTTTATGGTAGTTTTCTTGTTGTTATTCATAAACTTTTTGCATCTATATTTACTCACCGACAAAAGGGATTTTTGCACAAATCTGAATATTTCATCACGGTTCGAGCGGTTTTTGAATCACATTCGATTATTTTGTGTATTATTTTGTCATACAAAATGTTCAATTTTTCGTCTTTTCCAGTGTAAATAAAATGTTGGGATAGGAATGGAATAGAATAGAAAAAGAGAAATGAAAAGAAATGCCGTTACAATTTCTAACTACTCGATTTCGATAAAACACACACATACACAGTTGAAAAAAATAACAGCAGTATAGTCCAACTCTATTGACCGCCCTGTAGATAAAGTAGATCACACTGTATACTTATGTGAATTAATACATGAAAACAATAATTTAAAATGAATCTGCCACTTTTGAGCAAATTTCTTCAAAACAATAAGGAAACTTAGACTCAAGAAACAAAAATCGGTCTTCGATGTTCATTGGAAAGAAAAACATTGATCTAAATATTACGCGACACACAAATACAATTCAATTTTAGTGGTAGTGGTGATGACAAAGAAAAAAACGATATGAGAAACAAATTGGAAAAAGGGAGTTCATCATAAGAATTGATTCAAGTTTATATAGAGGTGACATTTTTATAGATAGGTGAAATGAAATTTGAAAAATGAAAGAAAATAATTTATAATGAAAAACATCAACACACACAACGATCGAATAAAATCTGTTGACTCTCTCAGACTGACACAAATGACTGACTTGTTGTTTAATAAATGCAACAAAACACGATGAAAAACACGACCCCAATAACGATTATAAAAATATGTGTACAAAACTCTAATTCGACAAATGTCAACGCGCACATAGTCCGGTCCCCGGACTCCGGTGTATATGCGAAAGTGGATGCGATTTACTTTATTGGCTTTCCCATTCCTCAGTTTTTTTTTTAAATGCCATTATTTAATTGAAGTAAGCGCGAAGTGTGCACCATCATAGAAATACACTAGCCTCCGAATCAATCGAAGAATAGAAAAAAATGTGTGTCGAAAAATAGCAACATTTGCACTGATGTGGAACCAGTGTTAAATCACAAACAATGGTTCGTATGACTTGAAAGCTCACCACCAATCTATTTCGTTTTTGTTGTAAAGTTTGTCCGCTTCACAAATTAGTGTGCATATCAAAAAGTATTGAACATTTCAACAAATGACTAGATGGCATTTTAATCTTTGAAATCTGCGGTCATAATGGTTGAGAGTGTGGTGCTTGAGGCTCAAATGCCAATTTCATGCATTTCCATTGCTTTCCAAAAAATTGGCATTACGTCAGATAACAGTGACAGAAAAATAAATTGAAATACTGACTATGATGGAAAGTGACCCAAAGAACCGAAAAGAGGGTAATAATTAGAGTGAAACTGGATTATATCATTTTCGTCAGCTAATTTCACATTCAATTCGTAAGCATTTTTGGCGTTGCAATGGTCAAACGTTGTTGGGAATACGCAAATGGATATGCCTGCAACCGTCGCATACCACACCGGATATGCGGTTTACATTTAGTACGAACATAATATGATGATGATGTACTCAAAGTGACAATAAAATGAAAAATAAAGAAGAACCAAACAAGAAATACAGTTCATTTATTTGATAGTTTTTTTTTGTTCGCATTTTTTTTTTTTTTTGCTTTTTAATTCCATTCAAATTATTATTGTTATTTAATTTGCATCCTGCCTAATGTTGCTTGCTCGTTTCGTTTGTTTTGAAAGTTATTTTGTTGTTATTGTTTTTTCTGTGTTTAGTTTTCAAAAGTAAAATCGTTACTGTTTTCACGCAAACAGGACATTGATTGCTACTTGCATATAATATGCACTTTTTTTTGTTATTGTTCTTTTCAAACTAAAACACAATTAGTTATATGGTTAATTTTAATTGTTAAAAAAAGGTTTTTTTTTCTTTGTCTCATTGGTATGCTACAATATAGTTAACAACTACACATGCTTTTACAGATTTTTTTTTCACTTTTTTTGTTTTGATTTTTTTCTTCACTTATTTTGCGTAACATCAATAGATTTTTTGTTTGAACTTTTTATTTCATTCTCTCCTAAAAATGATTCCTTTTTTTTATTTATAATTTGTTTGTAATTGGTAAACATTTACGATTGTATTTGAACTGGAATCGGGTTTGTTTTGCTTATGTTTTTTTTTTCTTGTGGAGAGTAGGAGGTTTGTTACTTCTGAATAGGATTTCGGTGGATTAATAATTAGTTATATCTATGTATTGATTAATGTCGATGTTCGACTCTATTTGTTTCTATGTATCATATTATGTCGTTTTGTGTATTATTCTTGTTGAAACGAATGTGAAATTGGGCGTGACAAAACTTATGTGGGAAACAAAAATTAAAATAGATGATCCATAGTTTAATATTTGGATGTTCTGACAGTGATGTTTGAAATATAAAAAAGAAGAAGAGGAAAATTCGTTTTGAAAATTGAAGCGTTGAAAACTGTGAAATGGTATTGCACGTAAAAGAACTATATAAAAAATATTCTCTCATTTTTATTTGTGTTTTTCTTCTCAGAAATGTGATTCTTTTGTTTCCACATATATTTCTATCTCTCTCTCTCTCTCACACGCATACATCTTCATTGGGATTGATGAATTTTAAAACGAGAAAACTGAATTGCTTTAATTGAAACCATTATTATTTTTTTGCTTATTATTATTATTTATTCATTTCTTTAGCTTGAACTTTTCGTAAGCCAGTAATTTTCCATTTTTATTTTGATTACCATTGAATCAATATTTGTCTGTGGTAATATCTTGATTGAATCGTTGAGCGGTAAAATTTTCATGACAGAAAGAAAATAAATTAAGGATTCATATTTGTATCCGTTGCATATATCTAGCAGTGTCGCTCTGTTGCCTCACACTTTTCGGTTTATTATATGCTGCAGTGTACGCAAGCAACAGAGCGGCAGTATTGTGTCACCGCAGATATATCTATTGCTAGATGTTGATTGCATGGATATATCCTCTTGTTACATCTATGCAATCGTGAATCGTTGGGGAAAAAACATTGAAATGTGAATAAATGGCAACATTGAATGATAAAATGTCGATTGTCGAAACATTTTATAGACATTAACAGTATAGTATACTAAAAGAAAAATAAATCATTTTGATTTCACTTTTTCTTTCACGTGTCTACATTTTTGTAGTTTTTTTTTAATGATTAATTCAATCAAAATGTGGCTTTCTCATGAATTTAAGGCGCTTTTAGGAATTGTTGAACTAACATTTTTTTGTTAAAATTTAATCAACGCTCGATGGAGAACGCATGTGTTTTCTTTTTTTTCTTATCGCGTGCATGAGTCTTTAACATAATAATTTTTCAGGTATCACTCGAGAGAGATTTTCGATTGTGTTTTTCGTTTAAAGCGATTTTTTTACCTGTTTTCAATCAAAAACGAAAAATAAAAATATAAACAGCAGTGACAGTCTCACTGTGAGACAAAATACATCAAAATCCACACATATTTTGATGATTCCAAACAAATTTGGAATATACTCGTTTCTCGTGTATGATGCGGTGCGTCGTTAATTGGGACAACAACACTCATTAATGTAAAATGAAATAGTTTCAATCCGTTTAGTGTGGAATCAACAGAATATACGTCAATTTGATGTTTTTCTTGTCTTAATGACGATAGCATCTTATGCTTAACCACAGTAAGAAACCAAAATAGTATTAGTATAGAATAGCGAACTAGATATAACTAAAAAAAACCTGTCGAATTGAGGAATATTCTATATAAGGTTCATATAGAAAACATGAAATAGTCGTTAATACGATAATGATGTGAGTCTTTACCTTTCTTTTTCTTCTACTCAGTTTGTTGCTGTGGCTTTTTTTGCAATTTTTCTTCATATTCTATAGTACAGTAGCGTGTGTAACAAATACATC